CCACTCAATGTGCATGGGGCACTCGGGGATGCTGCACACACCTTTGCCTGCTGGAAGCCAACAGCTTCTCCCTGACTTGGGGAGCAGCAGAAGCTCCCAGTGGGCTTTTCTGTGCTTATCTGTGCTTTTTACTTGTTCCTCTTCTGCATACAGACTCTCCCCTCTTCATATTCCCTTTCTTAATGAGGTCATCACTCCTCCTTTCCCACCAAGAGAGTGGAAGGGTTTTAGCCAAACACATCCCCAGCACCCTGACAGTGGGCACGGGCCTTAGTGTTGCAGTGGTGTGTTCCTCCATTGAACCCAGAGGGAGTAGAAAACCTATAGGCAGCTCTGTGATGATACCTCTAACCTGCTGAATACACAGCCTCAAGTGGGGCACCCTTAGCCCTTGGTATGGCAGGGGAGAAAATGGTGACTGGAGGCCTAATCGGCTTTCCAAGGGAGTTTACTACTGCATGGGTGATTTGAGAAGATAAAGACCAAGACAACTGGGACCACTTTAATAATTAGTTCAGGGAGGTCTTTGGCTCCCACTAGACCCTTTCCTCTTGCACAGCCAGTAAGTCTTAGCATGWCTGTCCCAAGTGCAACCTGCAGGTTGCTCTCTCCAGTGCAACACTGACATCTACAAGGAYAGGACATCTCCACTTCCCATTACAGCTTTAGTTGTCATCCTCCTAACATGTTTTTATGGGCAGAGAGGTGGTATATTTATGGCTCTGCATATTGGCACTTGAGGCACAATGAAAATGTTTCACAAGAGTAACATGAGAAGCTTGTGGCTTTGCAAGGTCCCCAGAYAGTGAAACATCTTGATGGTGTGACMCTTTTTCTGAGGATGAAGGACTCCTTGTCATTCATGAATGAATGACACCAAATTCTTGCACCTGGGGAACATCGTCTATAGATAAACATACGATGAAAAGAAGAGACGGAAACCTACTACATGAAAACTTCTCCTAATCATAACAAAATCTTGCTTTAGAAAAAAAATCATTTCTAAAATGCAATTAGATGCTGTGGCCAGTAGTGGCTCTTGGAAGATCACTGTCTTTAAAAAGGGCTTCTAGAGGATACTGGAGCATCTGACACATACAGTGATTCTGGAAAGAGACATGGTCTATTTTCCATCATTTTCTCTCTCCTCATCTGATCTGAAGAGAAAGTGTCACACTTTTCCCCATTGCAGTAGTGGTATATTCTATGTCTTTTTCCTGTCCTTAACTCTTCATAGCGAAAGAAAAAGGACAAAATATGGACAGAAAAGACTTGGAAAAGGATATATAACCATTATCTCATGTCAATCCTGCAAGCAGGGTTGGAAACAGGAAAAAAAAATTTGAAAAGGAATATGAGAATTCACAGAGAAAGAGGAAGTGGGGCCAATGGAGATGAAAAAAGGAAAAAGAGATAACTAGAAAAAGAATGAAAAGCCCTTCTTTCTGCCATTTAAATATGAGGAGATGTTGGGATTGCATATTGACAGCAACTCCATAGAAGATAGTCAGTACTTGGAGCCATGCCAGATTTCTTTGGTGGGTCCTGGTCAAATGAGGTAYTCACATATCTTCCAAGAGAAGACGTGATATGGACCTGGCTCATGTCTGGCATGTGATAGCTGCCTGATGGGGATGGTGAGCTGATGGGGCTACTGAAGTCACTTCTTAGTTTGCTCTCTTTTCTGCCAGTTTTCTGCGGTGCCCTCCCCCCGCCTCAGGTTGGATGTTGGCTGCATCCAGGGGAACAATTAGGGCAGTGTTTCTCGGTGGTGGCTATCGCCCTGTGGGACAGGCAAGGAACCCTCCCCCTCTCTCCAGCTCTTCCGCTCCGTTGTGGCCATGCCCGCACCCGATACACGGGCTCCTGCCAGCTTAAGGGTGACCCTCGCTGACTGCTGGAAGATTCAGTGAACTCAGCGGCACTGGTGGCTCTGCATCCAGTGGGCTGTGGGCATCTTTGTCTGGCACAGTGAAGGAGTAGCCTTGTCCCAGGCATTTGCCATGTTCTCCTTTCTGCTGGGCAGAGGTTTAGCTGCCAAGTTGCTCCTGTCTGTGTTGTAAGACCCCTTCTTGCAACAATCACAAACACTGTTTGGAGCTTGGATCTCATAACTTGTCCCCTACAAAACCTGAGATTTCCCAGTTGGCCAAGGAACTGGTGTCTTGATTTTGCTTTGCTAGCATCTCCATTGGGTTTTCTCAATGTGTATGGRAAAGGCATCCATATTCACTTCTTCCAAAAGGAAAAAGGCAGAATGTAAAGAGGAGTATTCAAGCCCCCACCCCCTTTTTTACAAAATGGGATAATATGAGCAAAAGAAAGAGAAGAAAAGCAAGAGAGGATTCCTTGAGAGGTTTATTTTGAGTGTGCAAAGTTGTTCTACAACATGGTCTTTAAGCATCTCCATCTGCCACCTGTTTGATGCCAATGACATGCACCAGTTCTCACTCTGAACTCAGTTCAGGGCTCTAGTGAGGTTTTGCTTGTTGCCACCCTACAGTTTCAGAGCTATATTCATACCAGACAGAGGTGCATTTGCAGGGAAAATGATCCTACACTGTCMATCAGGTCTGTAATAACAGCAGCTAGTCCCAGATTTGCTTTGAGTGCATTAGCTCAGATGCTCAACACCATCCTTTGGATTGGTTCTGTTGTGCCCTGTGTTGACAGCCAATATATGCTAGATTTTTCTCACGTAGGGCTTCTGGAGAGAGAAGATCTGCTACAGAAGTTGAGTATATTCTTGAAATCTCATTAAATTACTTGCATTGGATCCCATCCCATTAATCTCTTCTGATGTAGCACTGAATCACCTTCAAGTGGGTTGTCCATTGAAGACTCAGTGGCATGATCTAGGTCTATCTCACCGCTAACTCTGGAAGACCTGGAGTGATGGAGCTTGGATTTTTTTCATGGGCAGCCTTTTGTGGTTAAAGRCTTGGCGCTGTCCTTTGTGAGGCCCAGCGAGTAAAGAAACAATGTGAAGAAGGCAACTATCAGAGGACTTGGAGAGGAAAACAGGGTAGAAATTGAAAGATGTGATGAAGCCTGGTTGTCTTAGATACAGAGCGGAATGCATCGTGACAAACCCATCTCTACAGTGCAAATATCCTCAAAATGATTCAAAATGATACCAACTGTCCAACAAYGAAGTATTTTCCCTGAATCTAGTATCCCTTCATATGCAAAAGATCCTTGAAATCCTCTATCTCCTTCCCTACCCTGCAGGAGCAGGTCTTCAAATCAGGAGGCCCCTTTTGGCAGCATACTGACCTTGAAGACCCTGSACAGATTACTGCAACACACTTGGGTCCCCATGAGATGCTGTGACTGATGACTCTTTGGGAGCATCCAGGGAACCAGGCCTCATACGAGCAAAYGTGTTGGCTGAAGGAAGGAGAGAGCACCTGGCTCGAAGACACATCACCATCATTCTCACTCACCCCACATGGGCTCCCTTCCTGCACCTAGCTGCCCCCAAACTCCTGAGCTTAACCCTCTAGTGTGATCACAACTGCAGCCACGATGCTGGGAGTCGCTCAGYGAGTTGGCTGCAATTTTCATGGAGAAGCTGGCGCCAGGGAAAGTGAGGAACGTGCGTGCACCCGAGGTGGGGTGGGGGGCTGCCCGTGTCCCCTCCCCGCCGCCACCAACTGACTGTATTCTGGCTCTGAGGAGTGCTTAGCTCCACCTTCCGCCCTTCCCTCCCCCGGTGCTAAGCAGCAAAGCCTGCAAGAGACGTCCAGCCAGGGTATTAGTAAAAACCAAGCCTCCCTCTAGGAATGGCACTTGCCTGAGAGCCTCCCCGCGCAGCGCTCCTGTAAGCCGCCAGGGCTCGGAGGAGAGAACACAGGGGCTATTGGGATACAAATTACAGCCCTCGCTGGATTTGCCAGGCACGCCGGCCAGCAACGTAAGTTTTCCTACCTGAGCTCGCTCACACACACGCACACACTTTTGCGCTCACTCACCCTTTTTTTTTTTCCTACTTTCTGTTACTTTTTCAATTTTTTTAGCAAGGGTCCTTTCTTCTTTTTTTTTTTCCTTTCTTTTTTTTTTTTTTTAATTTCTGGATGATGGGATAGAATGGGATAGAGAGGCCTTTATCCTCAGAGTGCGTCTTTTCCGAAGTGGGGAACTGCTGCATGGTGGCAGCGATTTTCAGAGGTGACCGCAAACAGAGTGAGAGAAGGATGAGTATATGGGGCAGGCAACTCAAATCCTTGGCTTTTCTCAAAGGAAGTTAAACTTTCTATGTATGAACCTATGTGTGTATATATATATGTGTGTGTGTGTGTATATATATGTACATGCATACACATACACGCATGTTGGAGAGATGTATTTTAAGTATTTGGCTCATGACCTGAGATGAGGTGGGTGAGGGATGGGTGTTTGTATAAGGGCACTTTCCTCCGCCAGGATAKGGGTTGCTGTATGCTGATGCACAGCACTTGCTGGCTTCCCTGCCATGCYGTGTCTCCTGCTCAGCTTCTCCTGTAGCTGGAGATAGGTTTGTTCTGGTTTATCAATACATCTGCTGGCGCGCCGTCTCCCACGACTCCCCAGTGCACCGTGCTAGCATTTCAAGGCAAGTCTTAAAAAGAAAGGGTCGCTTCCTGACACAAGTTTTGCAGCTGCTCCCCCATCCTGCTTCCCATCCATGTCTCTATCCTTTCGGGTTCCTCTTATTCTTTCTGTCCTCAGCATCCCCAGGCAGCTGCCGCAGGCCCCTCTATAAATGTAAGATCCGGACTATTGCAGAGATAGAGAGCTTTCAATTAATCAGYGGCCCCAACCCGTTCCCACCCCCATTGATCACGGGTTTTGTGGTGTGAATCGCAATTGCTTTGCTTGCACTTTTATCAAGTGGTCCCCGTCTCGTGGTCAGCTCTTCGGAGAGTTTGGAGTCCCTTTTAGGTTTGGTTTTTGCTCTTCCATTTCTCTTTTTTTTTTCGTCTTTCCTTTCTTTCCTTTGTTTTTGTCTTCCTCCCTCCCCTGCCCAGTGAGAAGAAGGATACAGAGAAGGAAGAGAGGGCTCAAGAGCAATAATGGCTGATGATCAAGACCTTTCAGAGGTGGAGATGAGCCCAGTAGGCTCTGAAGACCACCACTGTCTCTCACCAGGACCCTCCATGGCATCAGACAACTCTCCTCACCTTGCTGGCTCTGGAAACGGAGAGATGGGCAAGGTCAAGAAGGAGCAGCAAGATTCAGAGGCGGATGATGACAAATTCCCTGTGTGCATCCGAGAGGCAGTCAGCCAGGTGCTGAGCGGCTATGACTGGACCCTGGTACCTATGCCTGTTCGGGTCAATGGAAGTAACAAGAGCAAACCCCATGTCAAGCGCCCCATGAACGCCTTCATGGTATGGGCACAAGCTGCCCGCCGGAAACTGGCTGACCAGTACCCGCACCTCCACAACGCGGAGCTCAGTAAGACCTTGGGCAAGCTCTGGAGGTAAGACAGGCAGAGAGAGGGGGAGCATGATGCTGAGGCGTTGTAGAGAGGACTGTGTGGTCATGTGGAAGGATGGAGATGGGGTTAAGGGGTTGTCTCTTGACTGGGGAATGGGGCAAATATCGTTGTTAGATATTGTGAAAGCGTCCACTGTAGAGCTCACCTCCATCCCTCACGGCAGCCCTTATCTTGTTTTTCCATTATTTTTCCTTCTAACTTTGCCTGGTGTCCTTTCTTCCTGACTCAGTATTCTCTACTCCTGGTCCTTGCCTGGAAATAACTGTCTGGCCATCAGGGGAGATCTGTTTTTCTTAGCTCACCTTTGTTGGTTGAAATTGCTCACTAACAGGAACTGGACTGAGCCCTATCAAACTTAAGTCACTTCCAGTTGCCTCAAGCCTATTTAAACACGTGTCCCAGCACTAACAGGGATTATCTTCTGCACAGTGCCATAGGGCAAGTGGGAAATTAAGTTATGGCAGATGAGAAAAGTCAGGGAAAGGGAGGAGTGCTTGGAGGCCGATGATTGCCCGCAGACCTGGCTGTCTCGTGATCCCAGTTTTGGCAGGCCACGCAGGGTCAGCAAGTGGGAACATTTATGCAAGAGGAGACCCTGCTAGAAAAGAAGAGGGGGAAGGAATGCAGGAAAGAGATGAAACGGTATCTCTCTAGCTACATATCCTAGGCACAGTTGATCCTTTATCTCTGAGCAGTGTTGTCAGCAAGGCGGCTCTCTGGAAGACTACAGCACTCAACAAACCTGAAATGTTCACCTCCTTAGCAGGCTCTCCTGTGACACATTGGTTCAAACTGGCACCAATTTCCTTTTGTCTCTGGAGGGGGATACCCTTTTCTTCTAGCCAGCACACACACGTGCTCTTCCCTTTGGCCCTTCCATTTTGTTAGCACCTGTTTAGATTTTAGCTTTGTGCAGCTCTTCATGCCTTTTCCATACCCTCCCTCTCCGAACCTCTTCTCCTATCTCTGGAAAAGCCAGTGCCAGAGGGACTGATGGGATGTGCAGAGAGATAGCGGCAGGCCTGCAGGTGTGCACGTATGTGTGGGATGTGTGCGTGCACAGAGAGCCGCCGCACACGAGCAGCGCATGTAGGGTAGCTGTTCTCCTTCCTTCCCATCCGACAATCTCCACAAATAGCCCAACACGCAATTATAAACACTTTATGCTGCAAGGCCAGGGTTACCCAGCACCCTCACCCTCTTTGCTCTGCACAAGCAAACACGAATCATGGCTATCAGCCTCATGTGAACAGGCTCTCTTGTGCCCTTTCCAGATCCAATGGCATTTTTCAGGAGGGAGCCCTCAGTCTTGGATAAGGAAAGAGACATTTCTTCCAGATAGAAGCAAAATGCATCCTATTCATCAGCCAATGCCCAAGTCTCCTTCTGACTTCAAACCTTCTTGCCCACAAGGCAGAAGCATGTCCTTAGGCCTGTATCGCCCCATTTACCCCAAACCATCAGTGTTTAGTGCAACTCAAGCAAAGGATTGCTTTGAAAAGTTGAAGACAGGGGATGATCACAGTCTTCCCTGCTAATGGCCTTTCCTGCCTTTCTGTTTTGTTCTCTGCTATATTCCCTTTTCCACAGCAGTTATTCCAACCTCAAACCATGCCATCAGCCCTAGACACAGGCAAAATGATGATCCTTAGTTCTCATCCAGCCTTTTGCCTCCATTTTGATAGGCAGCTGGTTTGCTCTGTTGTTCCCTGTAYTGGTTACCCCCCCGATGGAGCCATCATCTCCCAGTGTCCCCTCACCATCCTCTTCCATTCATGTCTTCATTAACTATCTCCTTTATACTTTGCCTCTCACTCCTCCACTTCCAACTACCYTTGGTTCCCCTTTCGTACATCTTCATGTCTGAATCTATGGCAGAAGGGTGGGTGCTCGCGGAGAGAAATGACATCTTTCTGTTAAAAAGTGTTATTTGAAGATATTGTGCCTTTGTTGCAAAATATTTCTGTATTTTATAGGCCTGGCTGCCCTTCAAACACTCTGTTTCCTGTAAAAATATATCAGAAAAGTTCTCTGTAGCTATTACAGAGACACAAAACTCTACCTTTGGCGACATTAGAATACCTGACTAGCTTCCTATTCCCACGGCATGGCTCCCACGGCAATGTGAACTCAGCCTAATGAGACTGTTCTAGCCGAGGGATGCTGCTGTCAGTAGAAAGCAGAGGTCCCACAAGGACCCCCTGGCATTTCTTAGGCCATCCTGTGGCCAGAAAGTGTGTCTGTCATGTGGAGAAGCTTGTAGGATCAGATCTGGGGCTGTGACTATTGAATGCTGCTGGGTTTTTAACCCAGCTGCTCTTACTGAGCGTGTCTCCTTTCTGAGTCACCGCCATTAGCACGGATCGCGGCTTTCGGTGCTTTGTCGGCCTGTATGGGACAGCATGGCAGAATAAGCTGGGGTTAGTGTGCAGGCGTCGGTCGACATCTGACTTGGTAGAACTGCCTGCATGTGTCTTTCTGGGAGTGTGAGGGGGAAAAATGAGCCCACAAAAGTCCAGGCGAGGTGCCTTAAAAGCTACCAGGACTGTAGCTGTGAGTCAACCCAACGTAGCCTTGCAGCCATGTTACTGCTGGGTYGTCCTCCTTTCGGCTCCCGCTGGCGCTTGTCCCACATGCTGTTTGGTCTATGCTGTCCCCAGAGTAGAGCTCCTTTGTGTTGTCACAAACTGAGAGCAGCCAGATGGAGTTCTAGATGGCTCAGTCTCAGGGTCTCTGCAACGGGCCGTAGCTATTCACACATCCCCACCCTTCTAAGATGGCCACACAAACCTCATGGTCTAAACGGCCAGTTGCTTCAGAAAATGTGGGCTCTCTAGACTATATTTCCATGTAGGCTGAGAAAAAAGTGCACTGGCAGGATGTGTGAGACAGAGAAATGGGAATTAGAGCTAGTGATCACGGACAGTGTTTGGAAACAACCCTTAAACCAAATGTGTATCCAGCAACTAGTGCTGGGTAGGTATGGCAGAGGCTCGAAAGGGGACTGAAAAACCTTCTTTAAAGACACCTAGTAGATGGAGCAACAACCCAGCGCTGTCTTACCCGCTGCTGTGCAAACCAGATTCAAGCAGCGCAGGCAGCTGGGGGCGGGCGACTGCTGTGTGCAGGCCTGGAGCCGTGTTTGCTCACGGGGCTTGCGGGCTCCAGCGCTGCGCCGCAGAAAGCGCTGGGGAGCTGCTGCCTATGAAAGGTGCCATTCTGCAGGAGACAGAGGGAGGCAAACAGGGAGCCAGAGGGAGCTGCTGCGGCCGGCAGCGCTGCCACATTGCATCAGTGTTATGTGGAGAAATGTCCCCTGGGGCCATTGCGGGGGCGGGGGGCAGAAGGAGCWGGGAGAGGAGGGGGTTTGGGCTTCAAACCTCTCTTCATCCTCTCCCCACTTCACACGCACTCCTATGCCAGACTCAGGAGGAGGCTTGAGAGAAAGAAGCTGCCACAAGCAGGGGATGAAGGGTGAGAAGGCCATCTCCAACCGCTGGCAAAGCAAGGAGTACATGCTGCCCATGGCAGTAGGCATCGCTGTGACCCATGAAGGAAGGCGGGGGGTTGCCAGATGCTCAGTCGAGACAGCCTGCAGCCCCTCCAGCTCCAGCCACCACCACAGTCTCCATGGGCCCAAGCGCTAGGTGAGGAGAGCTGTGAGACTCTCCTCCATGAGACCCTCCTCTTTGTTTGGGTCATGGTACCTGTTTGGTCCTGAGGACTAGAGCCAGCAGTRCTGGAGAGCTTACAGTTCGGTCCACCTCTCACCAGTTTGTACCCACTTTGTGTGTGAGGTGAGCATTCAAGGAGACAAACAAACTAAAAAGGAGGTGGAGGCTGAAGGAAAGGGGAGGAGAAGAGRAAGAWGACAAAGGGAGGGTTTTTGTGCTTGGCGATCACTAGAGCTCGCCGTGGTGGCTTTCCTTCCCTGCAGCGAGACAGGGAGCAGCTCTCAAATGGAGGCCGGCTGCTGAAAAAATGTCGGCATGACTCGAAGCCAAAATGCCAAGCAGCACCATCTCCAGGGCTGAAAACAAAGGGGATGCGGGAAGAAGGGGGCAGTGAGGAGCTGAAGACAGTGTGGGGAGGGGCGAGAGGACCCCGTGAAGGGATCTTTGTATCTGGGTGGCAGCACATGCTCTAGTTTCCCGCACCCTGCATCACCTAGGCAAAGTGCCCAGGGAACAGGGTCATGCCCGCGAAGTCAGGAGCTGCGGACGTGCAAGGGAGCCCGCCCAGATGTTTTTCTTCCAAGTCAGCTCTCATCTTGCATCAGCCATGCTGGGAGATGACCAACTCCTTCACTGCCATAGTGACTCATCGGCAGCTGAGGCATGGGGAAGAGCCAGGCCTCGGGCCGCCATTTCCGTACCCTGGCACGCAGTGGCCTCCCATTGCAATGCTGGGCCGTAAAAAGAGGCTGAAAGAGATGGCTGGAAAGATTTTAGCCCTTCTTTCTCCTCCCAAAGCAGGGTGCCTGCAGGTTCCCCCTTTCCTCTGGGCTCAAGGTTGAGCATTTGGTGCTGGATCGGATGGAGAGGACGCAGTTAAGCCCTGTTAGAGCTTTGCCCATTTTTATTCCCCTGCCCATGTGAGACTCCTCCACAGTATCAACTGGGGAGCGTCGGGGGACAGGACCCAGGAGGGGGAGGGCAGGAAATAAGTGAAATCTAAATCCCCCAAATCTCCTGGCCTTTGCCTGCTCGCACCAGTTTCACTTTGCTAAAGCCGATTTGAGTTCTGATCCCAGTGGGAGGGAGGAGGGAGTAGGGAGACTTGGAAAGGAGAAGACAAAGATGTGGGGAGTGGACTTTTTTTGCTGTTCTGCTGGGGGCACTGCTAATGAGCTGCTCTTGAGGGGAGACGAGGTGAGGAACCTGGCAGAGATCAGAGGGCAGAGATTTGACTCTTGGATAACTTCAAGTGACTCTTGTTCAGGTCATCCCTGAGACAGTTCTGGAAAGCTGAGCTTTGATCTCCTTTGGCGGCCACATTGGGAGCTCTCAGCTCTTTGCCTGGTGCCTCCCGCAGATCAAAGCTGTGCAGTGTATAGGCCCTTTGCTTTGAGAAACTGAAAGGTTTCTTGTTAGCATCTTGAAAGCTAACTTGTTAGCTCTGGCACCATCTTGTTCGGTAGCATCAACAATTCCAGGCCTGGCTGCCTTGCAGAGAAGTGTCAAGCATTTCAAGGCTGTGGATTTTGCCTCTCTTCTCTGATTTCTCTTCAAGAGAAACCTTTCATCATCTCTTGTGGAGATCAGGTGTTCTGCAAGGATGAAGATGGCGCCGAGGCAAGGTTGCCTCCCAGTTTGTGATGGTTCCAGGAACTGCAAGACCCTTTAGAGCTTGAAGAGCTGTTGCCTCAGACCCGTTAGAAACCTCTTTGGAGCAGTGCAGGGTGAGGGATTAGAGTCCTCTGGAACGTGTGAGCATGGTGCAGGGTGGCAGGAGGGAGACAGGAAAGCTGGTCTTGGATTCATGGTGGCTCAGTTGCTCTAATCTCTGGGATTAAGGCAGTGGTGGAATGCAGTCTGTGGCCATGACCTTCTTCGGCTGCCCGGAGTGACCCTGGGTCGGCACCGTAATGAGCTCCAGACCTTGCCACACACCTTCTGTCTGCTAGCTGGGAAGATGAGGAAGGACATTTARCTGCATAGTCTCTTTAGCCATACCTCATGCCTCTCTTCGAGTGTTCGTTTTTGGCCTGTTTTCTACACTGCCACAGTTTAGCCTAATTGGTCAAATTAGTGTTAATTACTTCAGGAATACCAAGGTACCAACATAGCCTGGCTGGGATTGTTTTTTCCCCATCTCCAGGCATTTCTTTTGTGGAGGGAAAAAGGGGACAGACGTTATTGGAAAATATTTTGCTACTTGGGTGCCCTGTCATTTCTAATCACTGTTTGGGCTACAAACTGTAGGAAAAGACTGGTACCTTTTTTTAGAGCATTGATTTCTGGTTGAAACCAGTATGACTTTGAGTTGCAAGAATATTTGAAAAGAATCATAAAATAAAACCAAAGTACTTCCAACCAAGAAGCTGTTAAAGACCTGTGCAATGCGGCCTAGTCTCTTCAAGCCTTCTGAGCGGTTCTGCCTGCACATTTCATAATATCCTCAGAGATCCTATCTTAACTAGAGCAGCCCATAATCTGCCAGGAATACAGAGAGGGAGTTTGCATTTCTTTACTGCCTTCATCCAGAGATCAAAGCTCATCTATTTCTACAAGGCCCAGAAATGTAGCAGCTATTTTTTCTTTTTTTACAACTAGTAGACTATGTTCAAGTAGAGCTGGACATTCATGTTTCAGGTTTTCACATTACCAACATGTACGGTGAGCAGGAGCCCCAGGAGCGTCAAAAGAAACTCTCCGTTTCCCCCATCTAAATCTTCTTTAATTCTGTTCTAGGATATTGCAAGATACTTAAAATACCAGCAAGCTCCATGCAGCATGGGCCCTGTGGAGCCAACACAAAACACTGATAATTGTGCTCAGTAGCACCTCAAACTCAGAGCAGTGTCTCTGAAAATATGGAAGGTTAAACTGGAGTAAATAAACAATCTGGGAAAAAGCATGAGACACACAGGAGAGACAGCACTCGGAGTAGCAAGGGTGTGACGTGCTAGTTCAGTTTGAGACATGATCCCATCTTCCCTTGATTTGCCCACAGTCTTTGAAAGCAACTTGCCCAGCCTTATTTTACATGAAAGGCCGTATTTGCCTTAGGGGGTGAAACTACATATACGAAAGCACTGAACTTACTGAGGTAAGAATCATAATGTAACTAGAAAAGGAGGTCGCAGTGCTAGCACTGACTAGTGTTAAGGCTTAGTATGAGCAGGAAACGTTAACAATGAGGAGGAAAACGTTGCAGTATTTTCAAGCTCTGCCAACTCTTCTGAGAAACCTCCTAAATGGGGTAACAGCCTTATGCCCATGTTTAAATGCCGTGCTATGTACATGTTCTTGTTCTGACCTACCTGCCCCTCTCCTTTCCCTCCTCTCTTCCGCCTTGGCCTCTGCAGGTTGTTAAACGAAAGCGACAAGCGGCCCTTCATTGAAGAGGCAGAGCGGCTGAGGATGCAGCACAAAAAAGACCATCCTGATTACAAATACCAGCCACGCCGTCGGAAAAATGGCAAGGCCACACAGGGCGAGGGTGAAGGCCAAGTAGATGGAGACGCTGGCGGGGCTACTGCTATCCAGGCGCATTACAAGAGCACCCACCTGGATCACAGACATCCTGGGGAAGGGTCACCCATGTCTGATGGGCACCCAGAACACTCCTCAGGTGAGTCCCAGGTGTCCATAGGTGTATGGACAGGTTACAGCCAACTCAAAGGCTCAAAAAATAAATGTTATCACCTTCATGATATGGCTCACACGTTCCTCATGATTCCAATGAACTTTGTTGGAGTCACCAGTCTGGGGCATGCCTGAGTTTCACAGGCATTTGCATTCCTTCTGTGAGCTAGGGAATCATTCTACCCTCCCTCGTCTTGCAGAAGATAATATAAAAAGGTGCYAGTTTGTTTTTGGCTCTTCTCTCTCCCTTCACTAAAAACTCCAGCTGGGCAGTTGCTGGAGTATGAGGAGGAGTGGAGCTGGCATATGTTATGGTCCAGGTATACATAAAGTGATAACTCACCTTTTCTCTCTCTTTCCTCCTCAAAATATTTTTCACATTGCAGGTCAGAGCCACGGTCCCCCCACACCTCCTACCACTCCCAAGACTGAGCTGCAGGCTGGCAAAGCCGACTCCAAACGTGAGGGGCGTTCTCTGGGAGAAGGGGGAAAGCCACACATTGACTTTGGCAATGTGGACATCGGGGAGATCAGCCATGAAGTGATGTCCAACATGGAGACCTTTGATGTCAATGAATTTGACCAATACCTGCCACCCAATGGACACGCTGGCCATCCAGGCCATGTTGGGGGCTACGCAGCAGCCGCGGCTGCTGGCTACGGCCTAGGGAGTGCCCTGGCTGCAGCCAGCGGACACTCTGCCTGGATCTCCAAGCAACATGGAGTCTCCTTGTCCACTGCCACGTCATCGGTGGTGGACTCCAAAGCGCAGGTGAAAACAGAAGGGTCTGCCCCTGGAGGTCATTACACTGAGCAGCCCTCCACCTCCCAGATAGCTTACACATCCCTTAGTCTGCCTCACTACGGTTCAGCCTTCCCCTCCATCTCCAGGCCCCAGTTTGACTACCCTGACCACCAACCCTCGGGACCCTACTACAGCCATTCCAGCCAAGCCTCTGGCCTCTATTCTGCCTTCTCCTATATGGGACCTTCCCAACGTCCCCTTTACACTGCTATCTCTGACCCTGCACCATCCGTGCCACAGTCCCATAGCCCCACACATTGGGAACAGCCTGTGTATACGACTCTCTCTAGACCATAGGGAATGGGGAACAGTGACCAAAACAGCAACAGAAAGGCTCCGAAGAATCAGCGCAGGCAGAAGAGCCTCCGAACTCCGAGGTCATTCAGTGTCATCCAGCCACCAGAACCCACTGAGTATCCRGAAGTGCCTTTCATGACCCCGGCTATCGCTGGCTCACTCGCCTACAGGAAGGTTTTTCGTCCTTTCGCCCTTTACCAATTCCATGCAGGCCACCCAACTGGCTTGCAACACTTTATTGGCCTTCTAGATGAGGAGGATTCTAGACATGGAGTGATTGGTCTGTGGTGGGTTTCGTTGTGTGCACCCTGGACTGTAAGATAAGAGAGACTCTCCTTCTCCTCCCCAGACTGCTCCAGTGAGTTAGCAAGTGTTTCCAATCGGCTGTAAYGGCCAACTCTTTGTTACCTGCTGTGGGTGAAGGGTGGTTGCTCAGGCACCTTGGTGAACATGTTTTGGGAGGAGTAGTAGGTAGGATGGCACAGCCAGCTTCCTTGAGATCAGTGTTGTGCAGCAGTCCTGCCTAAGATTCACACATGCATGAATCTTGATCCCCGTTGGAAGACCAACTTACGCTTGCTTCCCTGCTGATTTCCACAGCTGCATCCCAGCTTTTCTCCCTGCCTCTCCTCTCCAGCCTTATCCCTGTTTGACCCCACACTCTTTCCTGCATAGAGATTTTAAGGCTTGACTGAACARTACATTGGACTCAGGAACCACATTGTTGGTTTTAGCTTTATTCATCTCGTAGCATGCACATGTATTCCTGTGAGGAGGTATGGGAGAGGCAGAGAGTGCTTTATGGCTCATGAAAGACCTGTGGGCAAATCCTCCTTTCTTACAATTATTCTGAATCACTCATCTGGCATTACTGGTATCTCGGTCCTTTTTAATCTCTCCAGTGTCCCAAACAACCTCCAGCCAAACTTGGCCCTTGCTCTTCCAATGTCTGACTGTGTCTGTGTGAAATATGGAAGGAACAGGAAATCTGCTATTGCATCCAAAACTACAGGCATAAACCTCACCTGCCAACACCCAGAGGTGATTCCAATACTCACTTTGAATCCCTACTCCAAACTCAGACTAGTGGGGTCTGCATCTCTGCTTGTTGGATCGTCGTGTATTCCAGTTTGTCAGCATCTCCCTCCTACCTTTGCTGAGGATGGAAAGATTATTCTCGTGGCTTTAAGCAAGGTAGAAATACACACTTTTGGATAACAGCAAAAAAAATAGGCCTATGAGAGGTGCAAAGGAACTCGTTTTCCCTGTTGTGATTCAAAATGGAAGCATCCAGCTGCCCAGCTCAGATCAACCTCTTTTTTTCAGTCCGACACCTGAGGCCAGTCTGCTTGCTGGCCCCTTGTCTTCTCCAGGACTGGGGTGGTTTGTCATGCCAGGGAGCTAAGTGGCACAAATACGGTTGCAGGAATAGATCACTCCCAGCACTTGACTGCAGAGACATATTGTGGGGCCTTCCAATGGATATTCCAGTCTAGCAAGATAAAATACCTTGGCCAAATGTGGACTGTGATGTGTGCCATCGTTTCCCTCTGCTGATATGACTGTCAGATGCCCTCCTGCCTCCCTTAGTTATGGATGTCCTCTCCTTACGGCATCTGGAAAGATCATGTAGAACGTTTGCTCCCTGTATGCATGTAACCTGTTCCAGCCTTGCCCCCTTATTTATGCAAGTAGCACCTTCCTGCCCCACCTCCCTTTTCCCAGTCTCTATGCTGTCCTAGCACCATTAACTCTGCATTAAACATATGGAATAATAAACTTAAAAGTTTCATTTTCATGTGTCTGCATTTTTTTTACCTCTTTCCTGAAATTCTCTTCCCTCTCTCCGCATAAGGATATGTTTCCTTATGTGTCCCACTACACATACCCTGTGCACAGTTTTCTTTTGCCCATCATTGAAGAGACACAAGCAAAATTCTGGTTGATCTACCAGACTCCTCCCTGGAGATGAAGCATCCACCATTCACAAATACATAGGCTAAAATTGTATAGGATAAAATTCAGCCTGTACAATTAAGCCTGCACAATTCGACCTATCCAGTAAGAACATGTGCTTTGCATGTGCTTCACCCAAGAATTTCTTGGTGTGATTGCTAACACTCTCTAGAATAGGAGCTTGGTCTTTACCAGGTGGTAGATCATATACCTTTAAAAAAAATACCTCTTCCCCACATACACGAACACACATACTTTGAAAGCAACCAAGAATTTCTCTGTACAAAATCAAATAGTCCAGGGCTTCCACAGATTTGAATACAAGCACACATAGAGAGTGTATTCAAGCATACATAGAYTTATACCCTCCTCTTTATTCTCAGGCTCTGGGAGACTATCTGAGGACGTTTGGAAAAAAAAATGTATATTTTGCTCTGCTTAAGAAGGACATCTATCAAGGCCAATGGTACCTAGCTAGGACCCCAGTTAATAAAGAGACTCCAAAATTACTAAAGAGTTCCAAACAATTTCCAGGCAGAGGCATGAGATTCATCCAGTGAATTTGTGTTCACTAGATGCCCTATGAGTAGGGCAAGTAGGATGCCTGGGAACCATGGAGCATATTCAAGGCTTTTTAAAGCTTGCAGCATGGTTCACATGAAGCCCTGTGTAGGGCCTAGAGCGTCRGCAGCGTAACGACTTACTGAGCCGTCATGATGGTGATGACAAGCTAAACAGTTCAATGCAAAGGGCAACCGTGGCCGTTCATTAGGCTGGAGACAAAGTGTTAGCCCAAACTGCGGGCTACAGGAAGAGTCCAGAGGACAATGGCATTGCTGATCAAGTCAGGAGCACCTGTGGGCTGACGGGGAAGCCATGGTGGCACTAGGGGTAGGAAAGGTGACCACATGAGCGGGAAAAAGAAGGRACGTGGTGGGAATGAGCCAAAGAGTGAGAAATGAAAGTCCCTACCCTGACGCAATCATCTTTCTCGAGCTCTTGAAAAAGCAAACCAAGGAAGGGAGCACGTTCTGCCTCAACCATTCTCTAGCAGAAGGGGATGCTTCACCTTGGCCAGGAGTCTCCTGACACGAAGGCAGGACTCCCAACACCACTGGGAGTAGAGGGGTTAATTACTCCTCCTGCAGTCTAGCAGGAGCTGGCCCGGCATGGCATCCTTCCCTATCCCTTTAATCGTATCTGATACAGATGCAAGGCTGGGGAGGGGAGGCGGGTAGGAAACAAAGAAGCCATTTAAAAAAAGGACAAGAAAACGACCCCCGCGCTCCGTGGCGGACGCCAAAACGATTGCACAAAGGCACCATTTCAGGGCTGAAATTTCACCGCACCAACGTGATTAAAGGATTCCACAGAGGGTGGGGGGGAGAGGGCTGAAAGCCACAGTGCTGCAAATTAACCTTTTCTTGGTTAGGACAGCCTGCACCAGGAAGCACTCACGCTCCTCAGGGCCAGCCCCCTTCCCATACCTGCCAGCAGCTCCGCGTCCCCTTTGGCCTGTCATTTTGTCCGGAGACCCGTTCGGCTCTTGCAGTCTTGCCTCCAAAGCCAGCCCCTCCCGTGCACTTCGTAGTCCTGCACCTGAAAACAGCAAGGGACCAGTGCTCTCAGAGGGAACACTAAGAATGACATACGTGGCTCATTACAACAGCCAAGTTGCCAGACACACGGATACAAGCTCTCTGTGGGACGGGGATGCTCACTGGTAGGCACTGAATGCATGTGCAGCATGGAGAACACTTGTTCATATGAGTAAGAACAGTGTTTAACACGTCCTAGTTGGAGAGATTCTTCCTAGAGCAACATCAAGATAGAGCAGCAGGTATCATAGGCTTGCTTTGGGTTTTTGTTTCCTCTTAATTTAAAAGAATTCCAAGGGCGACTTTAAACAGGTAATTGCTTCTAGACGTACTCAGTGTGTTCTGCCCAAGAGCTCAGGTCTTCCTCCCAAGTCTTGGAGCCCATAGAAGACTAAGAAACAAAAACCAGGTAAGGGCTGGCTAGAAGCTCCTGTAGGTTCTGACACGTRCACCCAACCTTTCTCAATCGTAGCAAAGGGGGCTTATGATCTATCCCCTCTGCCCATCATGAACTGAGTGGCGGTRTTTAGAGGGACAAATTATTGAACTTTTACCACACAGCACATCAAAGAAAGGAACTCGAGAGAGCTTAGCTGCTCTGCGGACATCGCCAGATCCACGGGAGCACCTGCGAGGCTCCGAGCGCACTGGCACCCCAAGGACCACGAGCGCAACCGCGCGGCGGGCACCAGCTACCCCGGAACGAGGGCAGGGAGCGCGCGTGGCCGCGGGGCCGGGGCTGGCGAGCGGCGGCGACGGCGCTTCCGGCTGGGCCGCGCTGCTGAAAGGGGATCCCCGGCGCTGATAAGMGGCGGCCGCGGCCAAACAATAGGTGACTTGATGAGAGCTGCTCGGCGATACTCCTGAGAAGCCCCATAGGCAGCTCTGGCCAGAGAGGAAATTGGGGGGTTTCCACAGCAACCTGCCCAGGGCACAAAGGCCCAACTGTCTGGGGGAAGCAATGGAGGTGTCCGGGCGCTCCAGCCTCTGCCCACTTTAAGGAAGGATGGGGTGGAGAGCCAGAGCCTCCCCGCAGCCAAAGWACCTGCGAGATCCTCTTTGTACAACAGGGGTTTAATTGGCTACTGGTCCTGTGAGCGGGGAGGGCTGGCAGTGGAAGAGGAAGCGGCTCCTGCAGCCTTTAGTCTAGCTGAAAGGGATGGGCTTCTCCAAGGAAGAACGCAAGAAAGGCAAGGCACTTTCTAAGCCCACTAACACGGCCCACATCACCTGAACAAAGAACACAGCAAACAGGCCAGGGGAGAGAAGAAACTCTTCTCCCAGGCACGTAGGACAGAGACGAAAAAAGGAAAGAACAAAAACGTTCAGCTAAAAATAGGGCAGTTTACAATTTATTTACACAAATATAAACAAAAATAGAAACATCTGCTGTGGAAGGAAGAACCAAAAGCAACGGCTTTGCAGGCGGATCAGTCTGTGATGATTAATTCATCCACACCCCAGTCCTCGTAGCTCCCGTCTGGCAGGTATCGGCGGATGATGATGGGGATCTTGCGCGCTCTGAGGAGAGGACAGAGAGGTGAATGGAAATGCCACAGCCTTCACTTCACCCTTCCAGCAACCAACAGGAATCCCAGTAGGGTCTTAGAGGCTTCAGGAAGCAATTTGGGTTTCCCTGGAAGATCTGCGTAGCACCAGTGCTTTGCATTATATAGCACGGGACATCCCAACAACCCCGTCTTGTAGCTGCAAAGCACGGAGCGACCTTGAGGCCCAAAATAAAGACCTGCACAAGTCAGCCATCCACTGCTAACACGGAAATGGCACCCTGGGATCTCAACCACTAGGAGCCCACACCAAACATCTAATGAGGATAYGGGGCAGAAGGAGGAGGAAATGAGGGGACTCAAAGTATAAATCCACTACTTGTTTGATGGAAAAGGCAGGAAAGACTTTTTTTTCCCCACACAAGTCACTGCAGAAGTGGCAGAATTCCAAGAACGTGCACAAGAAGTAATGACATTTACAGTGGGTTTTACACTCTAGGCATCCAAAGTATCAATTACACTGCAAGAAGGATACATGAAATTGGTGCTATTCAGACACTAAAGCAGGCTGCCATGGGGGTGGAACACTGCATCTGCTAGTGGCATTTCCCATTAAAAAACAAGGCAAGGCTGAGCACAGTTTAAGTCACTGAGGGCAGATTTAAGTCAGCAGAATGTAATTAAGCAGCCTGGAATGTAACCGGGGCATCAGGTTTTCRACCATATCAGTCTTGGAAAGTAATGCAGCATCTTTAATGACCCTAAGCATTCCGCAGTTGCTTCTCCCTTATGCCAAGTATTATGATTGAATTCTGGCACCGAACAGGACGTCCCTGTATTTCCTGCCAGGCCCTGACTCCTTTCCAGAGCTCGGGCTGGCGACAGTGACCAGGCTGAGCCTGCAGATCCGACAGGGAATGGGACCTAAGGAGGTTTTGGCAACGACAAAGGAGCTGTGATAAGGAGGCAAATCCACAAGAGCAACTGCAATGCACCGAGAGATGGTGAGAGTAGAGGGACAATTCCCTTCAAGAATAGGAATTTAATCAGTAAAGGAGTCTACTCTGCTTGAAAAATGCTGGCGTGTGGTCTAGCAGGTCACTGACCGTACTGGGGAACCGTGGACCRGCAGGGAGCTTTGCTGTGGAAAGGTGGGCTGTAAACAGCCACCCAGAGGCTGCCCCTACTCCRCCCAGAAAGGCTGTGACTGTGTTTGTTTCATCTCTGTGCAACACATCCTGGTAACCAGATAAAAACCCCCTTTCTAACATGGAGGCAGGAAGCAGGGATGGGTCTTTTGCAAGCACAGTACGCCAAGCATGGAAGGATGCAGAAAGAGAAGGTTCTTAACAGGGTTTCATCATCACAGATCTGGTCTGTGTTTTACTTTTGTCAGCATTTCATTTCAGCACAGGTTTGTTCAGAYGGCTGCTCAGCATTAGTTCCTCTCAAGGAATTAAAGCGACTCCAGCAAGACGGGAGACTTGGGCTCTCACAAACCTGAAAAACACCTGGACTCTCAAATAGAAGACGTCAGGGTTCTGCAGCACTTTGCCAGAGCTCCCAGGCTGGCAGCGAGCAGCGCCCAAGCTACCTGCAGCTGGGGAGAGGTCCCCACATGGAACTGGGGACAGTGTCTGCAGTGTTCGCTGTCAGAGCGGTGCACAAGCCACACAGCATAAGCTGCTASGTGCTAGGGCGAGGACTACCTGCTAGATACAGTCCCAAAGGCGAGACTTACTTGAGCTCCTTCATGGCGATCAGCAAGGGGTCTGTCTCGCCCTCCAGCTCCACCATCACCGGGGCGCACATCCTGCGTGGGAAGAGCAGCCGTCAAGCAGGGAACACGCAGAGAGGCGACAACCAAGCACGTGTCTGTGTCCCTCGCCCACAGGGCAGCTGAGCAGCAGAGTGGAACACCACCTTGGCAAACCCAAGCTGGAATTTTATCCACTCTGGGAAGCARTTTGCCCTCCTCTGAGCGTGCAGTGGCAGCACCAGTTTCAGCAGATGCAGGCTGGCTATGGAACGAGCGTTTACTTGAATGCTCTTCTTGGCCTGGCCCTCAGCAGCAGCTGGGGCTTTGCACTTAGTCAAAGCCACATCCTCCTGGAGTCATCCTGGGCCGTGGGTAAACGCGGGGAAGGAAGGAAGAAGTTCTAAAATTAACCCACTGAAGAGGGCGGAAACACTATAAAAATGGGCCTGGCATCTGCAATTCCACCMCAGCTCTTACTTCCTGACCTATTCATATTCTCCAGGCTTTAACTGGGGGAAAAGGAGAGGGCTGGTTTTATGATGCACTATTTCCAGGAGGAAAAAAAATAAATAAATAAAAGAAAAAGGCATTTTGCAGAGGGTTGAGCAGCAGGGCTGGCGGGGCTGACTGTTATCTGYCCTCCTCAGCAGCAGCAGGGAACAGCAGCTCCCGTTATGCCTGGACGAGGCCACTGGGGGCTGCTGCTGGCCTGGATTCTGAGGGCAGAGGCTCTCCTGAGGCAGGACCCGGCGCCGGAGCCTGGATTAGAGGCCTGGCACAGACCCCCCGCAGCTCCCCCCTTTCTCCGGCCTTCTACCAGCTGAGGGGCTGCACACAGAACAGCTTCACCAAGCGGGAGGCAAAATGAGGCCTAAGGAAAGGTGTGATCACCACTGAGGAGCTTCTAGACGAGGCTCCTGTGAAGGGGCAGCRTTATTCTGAGGGTGGAGGTAACCTGGAGAAAAGCGAGATGCGTTTTCAGACGAGCTTCACAAACGTTTACAGACAGCCCAGGGCAGGGTCTTCCGACAGGCAATATTCAAACTGCCCTGGGTGAATGGAAGACGTTGGGAGCAGCCAGCCCTAAGAGCCCTTAAAAGAGACCTTAAATACCACTGCACGTTACAAACAGGGCCCCACTCACTGAAATGCTTTAGAAACACGTAGCTTGCTGCAACACAACTGCAGTCTGAAAGGAAGTCAAGACCATTAGGCTTAAACCCTGCAGCCCAATTTTGGAAATTTTTTGGAAAATTTTGGAAAAATCCAAAAGACTGGGACGTTTGTCCCCTCGAATTTTGSCTCTCGCAAACAGTTTCTATGGCTTCCAGCCCAGACTCACTCACCTTATGARAGGCAGAGATGGGGACCCCTCTCCCAGGCCAGGGGCAGGTGCGGAGCCACCCCAGCGCCGGCCACGGGAGGAGACGGGGCCCTCACCCGCGCCCCACGGCTGCGCGGCGCACAGGGACGGAGGCCCCAAAGCCCGGGGGCCACGCAAGGCGCATCCCGGTGTATCCCGGGGAAGGGAGCGAGGGCCGGCGCGGCGGGCGGTACTCACGCGATCTGGAGGGCGCGCGTGCCCAGCACCCGCGCCCGCTCGTACTTGGTCATGTAGGGGGTGGTGATGCGCTTCTGGTTGGCCTGCTGCCGCTCGCCCGAGGGCAGGATCTCCACGTTCTCCTGGCCCTCCTGCGAAGGGCAGCGCGGGGCGGGCAGCGCGGCGCGGCCGGGGCCGGGCCGGGCCCGCCGCCGCCGCCAGGCCCCGCTCCCACCTCCTCGGCGTTCTCCAGGTCCTCGAGCCCCTCGTCCTCCTCCACATCGTCGAAGTCGTCGCCGTCGAAGCTGCGGGCGGACACGGAGGTCGCCGGGCGGACACGGAGGTCGCCGCGCGCCCCCCCCCCCCCCGCCCGCCCCTCCCTGCGCGCGCGGCCGCGCTCTCACTTGTCCTCGTTGTCCGACATGCTGCCGCCGCGCCGCGCCGCCCAACGCCCCTCACTTCCGGCGCCGCGCCGTGACGTCGCGGAAGTCGCCCGGCCTCCCCGGGGCGGTGGCCGACAGCCCCGCCCACTTCTACGCGGCCCAATCCCAGGCCGCCCCGCCCACGCGTCGCCATGGAGACGGGGGGACTCGTTCTTGCGCGGTTCCTCTTCCCTTCTCTTTCCTGATTGGCTCCGAGGGCGTCTTCTCCCGTGGCGTCAGAGCGCCGCGCTGTGACGTCAGGCGGTGGGCAGGTGAGGGGGGAGCCGCAGGGCCTGGGGGGGCTGCGGGGGCGGCGCCTGTGACGTCACCGGCTGCTGCAGGCCCTGGAAGGGCAGCGCCTGTGACGTCACTTGCCCAGGGGGTCCCTGGAAGGGCAGTGCCTGTGACGTCACTCGTCAAGGGGTCCCTGGAAGGGCGGTGCCTGTGACGTCACTGCAGTGTCCCTGGAAGGGCGGTGCCTGTGATGTCACTCGTCAAGGGGGGTCCCTGGAAGGGCGGTGCCTGTGACGTCACTGCAGTGTCCCCGGAAGGGCAGTGCCTGTGACGTCACATGTCAAGGGGTCCCTGGAAGGGTGGTGCCTGTGACGTCACTTGTCAAGGGGTCTCTGGAAGGGCGGCACCTGTGACGTCACTGCAGCGTCCCTGGAAGGGCAGTGCCTGTGACGTCACTCGTCAAGGGGGGTCCCTGGAAGGGCGGTGCCTGTGACGTCACTGCAGTGTCCCCGGAAGGGCAGTGTCTGTGACATCACATGTCAAGGGGTCCGCGAAAGGGTGGTGCCTGTGACGTCACTTGTCAAGGGGGTCCCTGGAAGGGCGGCACCTGTGACGTCACTGCAGCGTCCCTGGAAGGGCAGTGCCTGTGACGTCACTTGTCAAGGAGTCTCTGGAAGGGCAGTGCCTGTGACGTCACTTGTCAAGGGGTCTCTGGAAGGGCGGTGCCTGTGACGTCACTGCAGTGTCCCTGGAAGGGCGGTGCCTGTGACGTCACTCGTCACGGGGGTCCCTGGAAGGGCGGTGCCTGTGACGTCACTTGTCAAGGGGTCTCTGGAAGGGCGGTGCCTGTGACGTCACTGCAGTGTCCCTGGAAGGGCAGTGCCTGTGACGTCACTGCGGTGTCCCTGGCAGGGCGGCGCCCGTGACGTCACCCGTCGCCGCAGCGTGAGGGTGTCAGTGTCCCTTGCCACAGGGCCGGGCCCGGAGCGCCCGGCGACGCCGCGCGGCCCCGTCTCGTCTCGCCGCTGTCCTCGGGCCCGGCCATGTCGTCGCGGCAGGGCGGGCGGCCGGCGCCCGCCACGGCCAGGGGAAGCCGCTTCTGGCAGCCGCCCGGCACCGCCCAGTACAGCCGGGAAACGCGGGAGCTGCTGGAAGGTAACGGCGGGGAAGGGGAGGCCTGGAGCGGGCGCCTCCCGCTGCRCGTCCCGGCTCTGCAGCGTCCGGGCGGGCGTCGCGGGCCGCGCTCCCCTCCGCGGCGTTTGGGGCCCGTGGTTACGGCACCCGTGCGGCCGGGGMAAAGGAAATCTTTCCCCAAATAAAACCCTCCACCTAATTCTTCCCCTGGGCAAAGCTGAGAGCGAGCCGCACGGAGCAGCGGCTGGACACGGCCCTGGAGCTGCCTGCGTTCGAGTGCTCGGGTGTGCTGGTCCTGAAGCGGCAAGATAACAGGCTCCCTTCTTTGGGGTTTTGATCTTTAAGTGGGGATTTTCTCCAGGGCCTATTTACCGAGCCATTCCCCCTGCCCTAACTTGTAAGGTGGATAGSGGAGCCCCCCACGCTGAGGTCCTCACGGACACACCGTGTTTTTCAGCAATGATGGATGAGTCCAGGCTCACGAGTTTCCAGAGGCGGCACCTCATGGACTGTGTGAAACGTGAGTACGTCTGTGGCTCCGCACCCTGCGCTGCTGCTTTTGGGGTGCTCCCCAGGGAGCACTGGCCTACAGAGGAGTTGGATGGGCCAGAAACAAGTGTGGGGGTAGTACCTGGAGGAAGTCRTGTTCTTGTCAGCACCGGACCCCACCTTACTATCCTGATCTCTGTTTTCCTGGGATGGAAACTGTCCTCCTACAGAAAACTGTCCAGCCTCCACCTGCCTCTTCCTCTCAGTGCCTCCCTTCTGCCTTTAAAACAGCAGCGTAGCTGCTGCTGATGTTGGACGGGGCGAGGTGTCCCCAAGGGTCTGTCCAGGAAATAGATGGTGACAGGGGCACCTGAACCCGTCTCGTGCCATGTGAAGCACCAGCCAGGTAAGACGCCTGTGGCACGTGGCACCCGTGCTCCCTGCACCCCAGGGGGTCCCCACACAGCCCTTCAGCTGCTCCGGGGCCACGAAGCCACACTCCTCTGTGCCTGACCCAGCCGTGTGTCTGTTCCCTTTGCTGTCCAGGAGGAGACACCCTGCCCCTGCAGTGCAGCCCCACGTGCAGCAAAGACCCGCGGCCTGCGGAGCCAGCCTTGGCTCCTCCTAAGCTCTGCCTGCCGGGCAGGCTCCCAGCTAAACCTCTGCTTCGACCCGCCAAGCTCTGCCAGGCGGGAGACGCCTATTCCCGAGAGCAGTTCAAGCCACAGGCAAGGCGTAAGTCAGCAGACATAAGTAAGGAATAAACCCCGCTGCCCAGGCCCTCGCATCCATTTGCTGTTTGCAACCTCAGCAGTCCGTGGCGGGTTCTTAATGGCTTTTCATCTTCACTCTTTCTGTCTCCCAAGAGGCCAAAAAAGCAGATCTCTGAGGGGACCTCTCCTGTAAATGCTCATTGACTCCTGCCTGCTGGCTAGGATGATAGGGGATAGGAGTGCAGGTAATCGTTGCCTAAGAGGGGAGTACTGTGTGTTTTCCTGGTTTATAAATGTGAATCAGAGCTCTGATGTCAGTTTGGTTGACTCTTCACCACAAATACTGTGCGGTTCCGTCTGAGGATGGGGCTGTCATTAACATGCTGCTGCCTCTGCCATCACGGGGACAGAAGCCACAAGGCCAGGCTGCTTCCTGAGGAGACAGGCTGCTAATGACTTCCTTTCCTTTGGCAATCCCAGGAGATTTGGAACGGGAGAAGCAAAGGCTCCAGAGTATCTTGGCGACAGGGAAGGATGTGGTGGAGCACAAAGCGAAGCAGCCGCCGCCTCGGACAGAGGAAGAGGAGGCACCTGAGGTGGACCGGTTTGAAGAGTGTATGTGGAAGGTGACAGAGCGAGGCACACGGGAAGGCCGGGGACCTCACGGCCTCCCCGAGCTGGCGCAGCTGAATGTGCAGTCAGAAATCRGAGGCCTGTTGTGGAAGGGGGCACTGAGCCCAGTTTCCAAGAGAAAGGACCTCTTGCTGTGACACGGATCCAGCTTCCTAGCAGAGTTTGTGTTGCAGCAGTTTGCTGGCGGATCCAAACTCTCCTGATTGCCCCCACAAAATCCACTCAATTGGCAGGAAAAGCCYTTACTGGTTTGCAGGGGTCACCTCGGCAGAAAGCCCAGGTATTGTGGCTCCTTTTTTCCAGCCCATGTAGCTCCATGTAGACTAGGCCCTTTGCCAGCTGGAGTGTGGTTTGGGCTGTTTTGTGTTGCTCCCAAACCAGGGCAGTTAAATGAGTAAAGCTTAAATATAGGATGAGCATAATTTTAGGTAGTGATRCACTTTGGCTTACAGAGTTACCTGGAGTGGCAACCCCGTGCCTGGTGACTCTGTGTGCCCCAGCTTCAGTGCACGTGTGCACCTCAGGCAGCTCTTTCCCAACCAGGGCAACACAGAAAATGACAGCACTCAACAACAGTGTTTGGTTCGGTCGGTGATGCAAGGAAAGCAGYGTGGTTGCCTTCCCATTCGCTTTGGGTGCTACAAAACTGCTCTCAAACTCACTGTTGTCCTTGACACACGTAAAGCGCTCACRGGCTGTGCTGTGTCAGGGGCTGGCCCACGAACTGGCTGCAGGACAACAGCCCAAGTGCTGCTGTGCACGAGCTCGCTGTGACCAAATACGGTTGTGTTTCCCTTGGGGCTGCCTTTGAACTCGTGAACCTCCACAGATTTAAGCGGATTGGCTCCTTCCACAGACTGGGTAACGTGCCAGCAAGCAGCAGTGTTGTCTATTTGAGGAGAACCAGAAAGTTACTGTTCGGGGACGGTGGAGAAAGGGGCTGGGGACACGAGGGACGAATTCCTCATGTTTAAAGGACTGCTGAGATACTTGGGGGACACGGGCAAGATAACTGTTGGAGCAGATACCCCCTTCTCTGGTGGGACCTCCATTCCAGTGACACTAGTAAGGTTGGCTGCTGAATCCTCTGTTTTTTTCTCTCCTCCTTGGGCTTAGTGGTAAACGAAGTGGAGGAGAGGAAAGAGTTCCTGGCCGAGATGGAAGCCCTGGGACAGGGCAAAAGGTATCGAGGGATCGTCCTCACCGAAATCTCGCAGGTTCGTGAGGGCCCCGGGGACAGTAGCAGAGCAGCGTGTGGAGGGAACCCCTCGTGGGAGAAATCTCAGCCCTCTGACACCCAAGGGTGGGTGTGGGAGGAGGAAGGGCAGGGAGCCGAGTGTGCTCCTTCATGGCACGGGGCAGGAGTGAGTTTAGGGGACACGGGGAGAGAAGGTTCCACCTTTCCTTGCCACGTCTGCACGTAAGTTGATCTAGGGCAGAAGAACCTTTTTTTCTGGGGTTTGGCAAAACAAAAACAAACAAACAAAACGTAACAGCTCCTGGTATTCTCCCCATTCAGCCTTTCCCCTTGCGCTTTGCAGAAGCTGCGGGAGATGGAGATGATTGACAAGAAGAGAAGCAAGGAAATGAGAGAGATCACAACAAAAGGCTTTCCCATTGGGAACAAATCTGATGCCCGTGACTAGGCCCAAAAAGACACCAGAGCAGTTTGGGCCCTCCTCTTCTTCCCTTACCATGAGTCYGCAGGGCTGGTCTGTGCCTGTCCACCTCTCAAGGATGCCCCTGAAGAGGGGGCAGTACCACCTGCTGCCTAAAGCCAGCAGGCAGGAACAACTTAGGCACAGCTGCTAACAGAAGAAAGCTGCTGGCAAATCCTTCCCATGCATCAGATCCCTTCTGCAAGGAGGGAATTTGCTCAACAATATTAAGGAGGTGAAAACACAGAGGAACAGACTTCAAAACATGACAAGGCAGAGCCTCCTTTTGGCGAGACAATGCTGCAGGGCAGAATCAGAGAACAAAAAAGTTGTTCCTTTTTTTCCATTCAACCCAAAGGGCGGAGGTTCCCAGGTAGGGTAGCAAGATGCTAACGTGRGTGTCACTCTCTCCATCTGTGACCTGACTGTGTCTCTGGCAGTGGCTGTGCTGGCAGGTGCTGGGGAAGAAGATGCCTCAACACAAACAGCAGCTTCGAGTGTTGCTGTAGCTCGGGGTGCTGGTGAGTGCCAGCACACTACTCGGCAGCGTTGGAAGAAGCAGGTGCTTGGGAACACGGCTGCACTGTGGAGGGACAGGGGTTTTTCTGCTCAGGGTTTTTCTGCTGGTTTTTTTCTTTTTTTTTGCTGTGGTTTTCCCAGTTTGATCTGTTTTTTAGTGATACCCTGTCAACCACTCATCAAAGCCAGGCGGCCATGCCCTGTCCTGGGACAGTGTGAGTGCAGGAAGGAATTAAAAAAAAAACCTTCTAAGGCACAGTCAGTTTTTAACTCCAAGGTTTCTTTTTATTTCCGTTCAGGTGAATGGAAATCCCGGGGTTAGTACAGTGTCATTTTACAAACGGAAGTTCTGATGGGAGCAGGGCCAAAGAGCGGGGCAGAGGCTGCAGCAATCCCGGCAGCAGCGACGCGGCCGCAGCCCCTGGAGCGAATACGCTCCGTGGAAAAGGCTTGTGCTCCGGGATCCCCCTCCCAACCGCTGCTCCCGACGAGCCAGCAGGGGACGGCAGGAAAGAAGCGGCATCAGCAGCGTGGGGCTCAGCTGCCCCCCRGGGCCGCGCTGGGGCTGGGGTGACACTCAGCCCCCCTGCGTGTCGGGAAAGGGGGATCCCACGCCGCAAGGCACTGCTCCAAGGCAGAGTGTCTGGATAAAGCCCGCTGGATTTTTGGAAAGAGGGGRCTGCAGCAGTTCGCTCGGGGCTGGTTATGTCTCATCTGCTACTGGGAAGGCAAGACCAACAGCGGACCAACCAAACAGCCATGAAACTCAGTGTCTAACTCAGACTGAGAGAACGACTCAATAAATAGCTCCTCGCCGTGGAGGAGAAGGCAGGAAACAAAAAGAAACAGGAGGAAGGAATGGCTGGAAGAACATCATCCCCCACTTCCCTCCTCCAACATACACGCGCACATACACAAACACGCAAACACCACAAATAAAATAAGGGTTTAAAAAGTTTGGGAGGGGGTTGAATTCATCTAGGAAAGGAGGCGTAAAAAACAACCGGCCCGAGCCTTTTCGCACGTATGCACAGGCAGGGCTGGGGAAAGGCCAGCGGCGACCGTGCCCCTTCCCCAGCTGCTCAAGGCTGGCACTGCTGGGCAGGGGCACCAGCTGCCCCTTGCCGGCCCCAAGTAAAATCTTGGGCCCTTTGTCTGGAAAAGGAATGTCCCTCCCTCCCYGTGAAGGCAGCAGGGGCTGTTTAGCAGCAGCAAGGGGGGAAGAGTAAGATGTCCTGAGTAGGGTGTATAGGCTGCATCCTAGCAGAAATACACTGTCCCCTTGGGTCCTCTCAGCCTTGTAACGGAGCCAGCCCAGCCCTGGCACCGGCGGGAGAAAAGTCTTCAGTGGGAGGGGAAATCTCAAAATAGATGGGGCACCTTTTGCACCTTTTTTTTTTTTTGGCTATGTCTCCAGGACCTTGTGATGAGGGTGTGGGGTTTTTTTTTAACATTTCAGCCTAGGCTGGAAAAGGCGGTAGATTCCTGCTCCCGAGTCCAGAATTTTCTCCTTGAACTAGGACAGGAAAGAGGCAAGAGCAGGAGGGCAGGGAGGGACAGCCAGGCCCCGCTCCCTCCTGGCGCCGGTCGGAGGCACACGGAGCTGTCACAGTTAGAGCGGAGGGGAGGGAGCGGGGCGGTTAGTGCAAGTTTTTCCCACAAACACCAAGCTCCTGGGCACGGAGCAGCAGGAACACGCTCCGGGGGATGCTCCTGCATGGCTAAGCCACGTGCTGGGCACCTCGGGCACCAGCCGTGCAGAGGGCAAGGCGGGAGCACSGAGCCCCGCGCCGCAGGAGCCACCGGAGGRGCCCTCCCACGCTCCGACTTCCCGCAGCTGCCGGGAGRGAGCGCCRGGARAGCCTCTGGAGAGACAGGCGGGAAGCGGAGGGGCAGGAGCCCCTTCCCGCTGAGCCCAGCGCAGCCCYCCTGTGGCTGGCGCTGCCCCGCTCTAGCTCTTCTCCTTGGGCGACTTGCTCTTGGAGTCGTGCTTGTTGCCCAGCAGCTTCAGCACCTTCATGGGCTTGAACTTGCCCTTCTTCTTGCTCTCGACCTCGGCCTCCTTGTGAAATTCTGGGGTTGCAAGGCGGGGTTGTTACTGCGTGATTCTGACAGCTGCACACCCGGGGCAACAGAGGCACAGGTGACAGCCCTGAATCAAGCCCTCCACTGCATGCACACTTCCTTCTGTGCAGTTTGGGCTGGCCCCAAACCTCAACAGCCCCATAGGAAAGGCCCCTGAGGCTGTGCAGAACCAYCTCTCCTTCTGCACAGAACAGTTAATGCTGCCCCTCACTGCAGTCTGCAGTGAAATCGTAACTAAAACCCTCCTGCCCATTTCTTACCTTTCTTTTTAATCATGGCTTCTAGCATTTTATCCTCCTCCTCTTCCCTGAAAGAAACAGTGGGAAATAGGTCAGCAATTCTGCCCTGAACCCAGCTGCTGCGGTGCCTCAGGCTAGAGAACCTCCCACTTAGAAGCCACGGAGGGGAGGATCCACTGCTGTCTCAAGGGCCTCTGATCCATGAACATCAATCCCACACGCTCTCCAAGTGCTGCCCTGCCCTTCCCACACAAACCATCCAAAGACACAAAGGTCTCTTTCCCAATGGGTTTCTTTGACCCACCGGGTCTCAGTCGTTTGATCCATTCTTCCCAGTGGGAAGCCTGAGACAGTCCTATTAGCAACAGGGACATCTTGGGACACCCCCATGAGTTGCTCAAGGGGTTCAGGGTCAGAACGGCCCCCAGGCCRTGTCCCTCCTCACCTCTGCCGGTCCTCATCCAGGCAGTTCACGATGGCGTTCCTCTGCTCGATGATGGTCACCAGCTCCTGCATCAGCACCTTCTCCCTCACTCGGTCTTCATCGGTCCAGTCCTTCTCTACATACCCGAGCCCCRAAATAAGGACAGGCCATTAAATGACTGAAGGAGCTCTGAATTTGTCCTTGGTGCTTGTGCCAGTCATCTGCAAGGTCCCTTTCTACTCTAACATGCTGCAGGGCCRGTTGGGGTAGGGGTAGTGTGAAGGGACAGCCCTTTGGCACCACACGGCATCCATGGGACAAAGGGAACATCTCCCAGTCCAGGACTGTGGCAGGGGAAGAGATGGGGCAGCATATCCAAATCCAACTAAACGTACTGGTCTCCTAAGGATCTGTCTCTCTTCTCAAAAGACTTGCCGTAACAGAGAGGGCATAGAGCATCATTCTGAGGAGAGTTACCCCATTTTCCAGAGAAGTTCCAGGGAAAAATGGGGTAACTCCCCCCAGAATGATGCTTTACCTGGCTTGTTCAGGAGGCACCGCAGTTCATACTCCACGTCTGACTGCCGCTGCTCCAGGTTCTGCTGCTTGAAGCTGCAAAGGAAGGGGACACTGCTGGAAAACGGTTGMGAGGCTCTGGAGAAGCAGAACATCACCCCACACCACAGGGTGGGCTTGCAGAGAAGCACCAAGTGCTTGTCTCATCCTCTGTGCAACAAGGGCCAGGCCCAGTCGAGCAGGCCCCAAGCCCAGCTGCTCAAGAGGAGGAGATGCTGCCGGCACCCAGGCCACCAGTGACCGGCAGCACATGAGCACTGTTTGGAGACAGTGCCAAGCCTCCCTGCCCGCCCCCTTCCCCACCTTCGGCGGGCCAGGGGGCCGTGTCAGGACCTCTGCTGGAAGCAGCATCTGGGGAGAGCTGAGAGGGGGCTCCCAGCAGCAGGACGAGCGCCTCCCCGGCGCACACTCACATGTAGATGAGCTCCGACTCGTGGCGCACCAGCATGTGCTTCTCGTGGATGAGTTTGAACCAGTCCACCAGCAGGCTGTCCTCAGGACTGTCTGCCAAGCAAAGGGACAATTCAGAGCCATCCCTAGCCCCACATGTCATGACACAAGGGGGTTGGACTAGATGACCTTTAGAGATCCCTTCCAACCTTAAGCAGTCTATGATTCTATGAAAACATGCAGCAGGCTGGGTTCTGCCAAGCCAGGGCAGGTGCATAGAATTAATTCAACCTCAGCTRGCATCTGAGCCCCAACGGACCTTTTCTCCTCTCCATCCCACCCTGTCATTCCTATCACCTCCTCTTCTCTTAGGAACATCTCCATCTCAAGTGTACGGCTGTGAAATTTCCTGGAGGCCAGGGCTCACCTATCCCCAGCATTGATAGGGAAGAAGTCACTGCTGCCATCTGCACTGCTGAAGACAGGACAGCTTTAGGATCCATCCTGCCCCACAGCCAAATGACAGCAGAGCCAACGCACCGTTCTCAGCACTGCGAAGCTTCTCCTCCAAAGCCACGCCACGGTGCTCCAGCTGGTCAAGCTGATGTTCAATGGCATCCATCTCCCCATAGATGTCTTCCTCAGGGATGTACTGATCTGTTTGCACCTGCCAAGCCAAACAGCAGAGACCTCCTGTCACCATCAACCTCTAGTTTTTGCGGGTAACCCTAAGGTTGGTCTACATGGAGCAGGCAACAAAGGACTGCCCACCTAAGAGGTGATTACAATCCCCACCTCACCCTGAGATAAAGGGAGATAAAAGGAGCTGCTGTCAGTGGAGCCCAGCCTAGACATCACCCTCCCCACCTGCAGTGTCACGCTGTGCTCCCTGCCTCCTTGTGCATCACTGGGGTGCCTAGACATCTGCTCCCCAGGGAGGGCTATAGGCCAAGAGGGCAATCCAGGGTCTAACAACCAGAGCGGCAGCCCTGGGGGACGGTGCAGGGCTGTTTTTTGCCCCCCTGTTCCCAAATGCCATTTCTACCTTGCGTTTGATCAGTGGGAAGCCGTGACCTGGCGCAGGAGGACGCACTGGCTTGGAGCCCTTGGGAGGCTTCTTTGCAGAGGGAGAGGCAGCGGGCGAAGGCTTCCTGTTGAAGGGGTTCTCTTTGCAGGACGACTGGAGCAAGGGCACAAAGGGAGACACATGAGGCTCCTGGAGAGCAAAGGGCTTCAGCACCCCAAGGCTACGCCTAGGCAGGCTGCTCACGGGGGGTGCACAGCACTGGCCTCCATCAGGACCCCAGCCACGAGGCTGTGAGCTGCTGTTCTCCCAGTCTCTTCACCGGACAAGAATAAAGCCAGCGGGTCACAGCTGTCAGAGGGATTAAGGGGGAAAAAGTTCCCCCTTAAAATAGGCACGGTTTTCCGTCATCATCATGCACCCCAAGGCAAGGATTTACAGCCCTGGGCACCGAAACTTATCCCATGTCACCACAGATGCTCGTCCTCATGTCTGCTATTGCTCCCTCTCCTTCCTGGCTGTGTTAACCCTTCAGGCATCAGTAACATTACGTGACAAGTTCTCCAGCCTCTCTCTAACCAGCATGCTGATTTATTTTCCTTCACAGTTCCCTTCCAATTTGCTCCAATCCCAGAGCATCCTGCCTATTTTTTAGCATGTGGGGCAGGCAAAGCAAGCCTGGCCACCACTCAGCAAGCACACAGGAGCTTTCAGGAGGTCACATATCAAACCCATGAAAGGCAAACCCGGCCTTTGTGCTCCCCACTGTGACCGAGGGACGAAAGGAGGTGGAAAGATGCAGATATGGATGCGAGAAAAATCACCATCTCACCTTCAGCTGGGGCTTGGGTGAGGAGGGTGCCTGAGGATTCACAGCACCCCCATCCGAAGCCAAAAGGGTGGGTGTAGGACTAGCCCCAGCAGGAGGCTTGGGAGGCAGCCGGCTGGGGCTGGTCTTCAAGCTGCCAGCAGAGACACTCCTGTCTGCATGTGGGGCGCTGGGCTGTGCCTCCCCACTGAGGCTGGTCAGCTCGCTGGAGGAGGAGAAGGAGGAGTTGGTGGAGAGGCTGCCTGGGGCAGCAGGGCTCTCACTGGAGGAGACACTGGCCAGCGGCGGTTCAGTGCTAGAGGTCTTGGCAGCCGTCGGCGTGTGCACAGTGGGCTCGGAGGAGCTTTTGGGCACTAAGGCCTCATCAGTGTCACCCAGCACCTTGGCTGAACTCTCAGAGTTGATGCTCTCGAGGCTGAGGGCTGGAGATGGGGTGGAGGATGATGGCTCGGAGTGCGACAGCCTGGAGATGGGGTGGTGGGCTGCAAAGCAAAGGGAGAGCTCAGGGAGGAAGGTGGCAGCTGGAAGGGCAGGTATGTGTCCAGGTGAGGGGGAGAGCACAAAAGGAACCAGCATCTGGCTTTCTCTTCAGAGAGGGTAAAAGGCGCCCTGCAGAGCAAAGGTCCTACCTGCAAAGCTCCCTGTGCTTCAGCGAGGGAGAGAGGATGTGCCTAGCACAGGGCCAGGACAACGGCACGAACGCCCGTCCCGCCAGCGCGAGGCAGAGGCTCCAGGGAGGCGGCACTCGGGGGGCTCCGGGGCTGAGGAGGGGAGCGAGCGCGTGCGGAGCAGGGAAGGGGGCAGCTCACCTAGCGGGGAGGCACTGGGGGCTCGCGGAGCTGGTCGCTTCTTGGCCTTCGGGCTGCTGGTCGGCGTGATGCCGTACCAGGGATGGAGGGGCCTGGCYGCAGCGTCGCTCTGCTCCTGCTCAGGGGTGCTCTTTGGGGTGGCAGCGTTCTCCTCTTCCTCCTCCTCTTCCTCCTCAAAGGGATTGTACGGTTTGGGCTCTGCAACATCAGGCCTGGTTTCCTCACTCCCGGCTTTCCCCACCTCCTCCCCATCCTCCTCCTCTGTAGTCCTGCTTGGAGTCTCATGGCTGCTGCCAGGGGGAGGAGGAGGAGCTGGCTTCTTCTTGGGCTCTGCTTGCACTAGAGCCATCCATGGTGGGTCCTTGGCTTTTGCAGCAGCTGCAGTGCTGGGAGAACAACAGAGGGAGAAAGAGAGAGGTGTCAGGGAGCAGGGACAGACAGGGAGGTCTAGACATGGGAGAAGGACTTAGTCAAAAGGGCTAGGAATGAGGTGGCAGGATGTCTCCCCTACAGGAGCAGGCTTCTTGTTTGAGGCTGGCCCAYGTCTTCTCCAGACACAAAGTGGCCTGCTCTCTGTGGAGGGCTGAGGACAAATCTAAGGGCTGGAGGGAAAGGCAGCCCATGTCACTCCCATGCTGCGCTGAGCATTTGGTTTCTAAATATTAGTCTCCATCTGCTAAGCAGCAGGCAAGGCTGGGCTTTATGGGAGCAGCTGTTCTCCTCTCCCCAACACAGCCTTCCCCAGCAGCAAGGTGACACCACCACAGACCAGAGCTGCTCTGCAGGCCGTCAATGGGGTCGGAGCCAAGATTAGGTACCTGGCCACAGAGGCCGTCATATTCACTTCCTACATTTCACAGAGCCATTTATCACCTTAACACCCTCAGCTCCCTAAGGAGGGCCAGATCCTTCTTTGCAAACTCCTGCTGGTGGTGGCACTGCTGCCCCTTTGGGGGCACAGTCCATGCAAGCCACGCTGCCCCACAGCACGGTGCATCCCCATTCCCAGGAAAGCTGCGGGGACTTCCCGCGTACACCCGCTCCGTGGGCACTGTGAGCACAAGCTGCAGGGTGTTTGTGCAACCTCTGCCCCCAAACCAGGCAAAAATGAGATCAGCAGCAGTCCCGCAGGTTGCTGAGGGACAGCTAGACAGGCATAAGGGATCCTAATTGTAGCCCAACGCCCATAATGTCCTTGTACTGGACATTTCCATGGACAAATGCCCACAAAGCAGGTCAGGGTCTCCTTTTCAGCAGCCACTGACAGAGCCACTCCAGAAGGCACTTGGCAGTGTCTACATATCCCTGAATCAGACTTCCACAAGATCCCACGTTCTTTACAAGCCCTAAGAGTCCCTTGAAGCAATGGCCAAACACAAGTCAGGGAAAAGATGTGATCGTGGCCTACGTTTTCCCATGAGGCAGGGGCTGATGGAGGTGGGGAAGGAGTCCACAGCCCTRCCTCCCTATGGAGTTTCCAGGTGGCCTGCAAACAGAAGGACGTACCGATCAGAGGAGCAGGGTCTCCCTCGGGGTTTTGGGACGGGGGGACTGGGCTCAGGTACCCTACCTAGAAAGACACATGTCAGACTGTCACAACACTGAAAGGACATTAGGAAAGAGGTTAGATCAACACAAGGCACCTCTTACATAGCTCCCTGCAGAAGGTGCTAGCTGTTCTCCCTGTAAATCTTGGGACATTTCTCCCATGGTCAAGGCAGTCTCCTCCTCCAAATATCTGCCTTGTCATCTTTTCCCCATCCCACCCTTGCAGTTGCACCTGGAGAACCAACACGTTCCCCTGCCCTGACTTCCAACTGCTTGATCCCTGCCACCCKTCCTCCACACTGGCAGCACCCTCTGGAAAGCTCCATGTAAATACGGGGCGCAGGCAGGTGTGAAACTCCTGCTGCTCTGTCTACTCCAGGGACTGCTGGCAGGTGCAGGCTCCATGGCTGGGCCTGAGATTTCACTGGAAACAGAGGGGCGTTGGGTTTTCTTAGATTTCTTTGAGGTTTCTTAGAGCCCTGCAACAGGCTGCCCAGGGAGGCTGTGGAGTCTCCTTCTCTGGGGATCTTCCAAACCCGCCTGGATGCCGCCCTGTGCCCCATGCTCTGGGTGTCCCTGCTGGAGCAGGGAGGTTGGACTAGGTGATCTCTAGGGGATCCCTTCCAACCTCAACCCTTCTATGATTCTGTGATAAGGAAAGAAACTCATCCAAGCTGCAGCTGACGGCCGCAGCTGCCGTGGATTTGGACAACCCCCTTTGCCGACCCCACGCGCTCTCACCGTTCACCACGGCAGGCCCACCCTCGCTGGCCTCGCTCTGCACGGTGGATCTGGGCCGGGGCACAGGGTGCGAGGTTGGAGGGGAGAGGGCTGACGGATCCGCGGCCCGTCTTGGCGCAGGGGTCGGCCGAGCGTCTCTGAGCCGTCCGTCCAGCGAGCCGGCTTTGTCCTGGCTGGGCACGGAGGGCTTGCTGGGAAGAGGAGGCCTGGGAGGAGTGTGGCAGGGGGACGTCCCGCTTCCCRCGTGCGCCGGCGGCGTCTCGGCTTCGCTGGGCGCGCTCTCCCGCTCCGTGGGGCCCGACGCCTCCGCTGCAGCCGCCGGGCTCTCGGCGGCGTCCGCGGCGCAGCCGTCGCTGTCCTTCCCCAGCGCCGCTCCTACGGGCGCTGCGGCGGCACCGGCGCCACCGGACTCGGTTCTGGGCTCCGGCGACGGCAGCTCCGGGCCRGGCCTCCCGCCCGCCTTCCCGCTCGCCGGCGGCTTCCCCCGGTGCTGCGTGCACACGAAAGTGCCGGCCTCGGCGCCGGCCTTGTAGGAGCCGGGCAGCAGCGTGCTGGAGCACTCCTTGCACCTGCCAAAGGCAAGAGAGAGCCCCGTGAGGGCCGCTGCGGCGCCCAGCCCGCCCCACGGGGGAAAAGAGGGCTAAGGAGAAATGCTTGGAGCGGCATTTGGGTAATCCTGTGGGGAGATAGGGGCTAATTCCCTCCTCTGCTACTAAAACTGAGCAGGATCTTGGGCAAGTCATTTGGGAAAGGAGAGGAAGGGGAAAACAACACTATGGCAGCAGGTGAGCCACTGAGGAGCTCATAGCTCCTGTGTGCAGATACTGGGTGCCTTGGGGTCCCTCTCAGCTCAGGGAGCACAGACTAGACTAGACACGAAAGGGTAACAACTATTGTCAGAGCCAGGGAGAGATCTGTGGCCTGAGTAGAATGGGATTCAATTCCACAACCGGTGGAGGAGCCTGGAAAAAGCTACAAAATCCCAGGCAGCCCTGGGAGCAGGGAAGGGCCTGTTCGCAGATAAGAACGAGGGAGCGCCAACTGGGAGTAGGAAGCGGTAGTTTCAGAACGAGCACAGGGAGGTAGTGGCCAAAAAGCACAGGAAGGCTACTTGCTCCTTGCTATGATTTTGTGGTGGCCAAGAGTTCAAATGGGTTCCAAGAACTGGCAGATATATTTGGAAAAAAAAATCTACTGAGAGCTAAGCAAAACGATGATACTTCTGACTGAAGAAATCCTTCAGCTGGAGGCCTGAAGCGCAGCCAAGGTGAGTACACACATGCCTAGCCTGCTCTTGTGCTCACCCTCACAGCTATTACAGAATCACYGGGGTTAGAAGGGCACAAACTGATCGTTGGCACCTGCCAAACACAGAGCTTTAGCCTGGAAGGACTTAGGAACGAGCCAGTAGGGCCCTTCTTTCACTCCCTGTGCCTTGCACATTGAATCGGGGTTAATAACTTTCCCCATCCACATCTTCTTGGATCATCTACTGTTTCCTCACCAAGGCTCTGATTCCTCCCTCACATAGCCCTCCAGCTGCCATTGAAATGAGCAGCACTAGCAACCAGGCCAGCGCTTTTCCACACGGGAAGGGGGAAAGCCAGTGTGTGTGCAGCAGAGCTGAGGGCAAGGGGCCAGGCAAGCATTCCCAAGCAAACCAAGCTGGTTTCTTCTTGTCTGAATACCTGGCGCTCACGGCAGCTGACTGCCCTACACTGCAACTGGGTAACTGGGTGAGGAATTCTGCTCTGGGTGTCCAGCTGACTGGTATTTACTCTGAAATGTAGAGCAGTAACGTGACCACACAGTGGGGGTGAGGAGGAGGGATGTGATGAAACAGAGGTAACAAGTTTGGACAGGGAGAAAAAGAGGGTTGTTTTGGTTTTATCCCAGTCAACCCACAGAACGTGCTGCCACAAGACATTTCCAAGCAAACAGTGCCCATGAGTCAGCAGAAAGAAAAAGACAAGGCAAGCACAAGGAGACAAAACACTCGGGATAAAATTACAGGGATCTCGCTGCTCAGTTGGAAGTGCTACAAGCTGTGCCAAGAAACACACCACACATCTCCTGTTCCTGGCTCCCAAGTGTTGTCACACTCGCACCCGGACGCTCCTGCTTTTACCCTAGCTGCAGATGGGAAGTGTGACAGGCCCCAGCTCTGATGTGTTTCTAGTACACTCCCCAGTTTGGCTTAGGCACAGACTGCTTATACAGTTATGTGAGGCCTCCCAGGTCTTTCCCGTGGCTCAGCACTTGTGCCCTCAGCTGCCAGTGGCCCAYGTGCAGCCTTGTGTCCTGGGGCCTACAGAAGAGCTCTCACCCCTTCATCACCACAGCAAGGAAAGGCAAGTGCAATGACTTTGCAGACATTGCAGGTAAGAGCCTGCACCCAGGTAGCAGCCACAGAGCAGAGGACATCCAACCTCTTTGTTTCTTGCTTTGGCCACTGCTCGCTCCCCACACGCTCTCCTAAGAGCTCGGCACCACCCCAGGCAGGGCTGCAGCCTGTATATCCAGTTGCGGCTGTGCAGTGTGGGAGGAAGGGGCTCAGTGGGTCCCAGGCCCCGGCTCGGACCTCATGCGGAGAGGAAGGTGTGTGTGGCAGAAAGTCGGAGGAGCAAAGCAGCAGAACTGCTGGCGGCGAGGGGCGCCCGGCCGCGACGTACCTGAAGCACTGGCGGTGGTAGAGCCGGCCCTCTGCCAGGTAGCGCTGCACCAGGTGGACGTGCTGCTGGCAGGCCGCGCACGTGCTGCTGGGCGCGGGGCGCCGGGACGGCTCCGCTGCCTCCGCGGCGGCCTCCTCCTGGGGACGGCGCGAGGGCAGCTCAGCAGAGGCCGCGCCGCGGGGCCCTGCTGCTCTCCCCTCTCCGAGCGCTTGTGGCGCCGCTCCGGAGCTGCCCGTGGCGGGTAGCAGCGCACGGCTGCCCCCGAGGCCAGGCACAGGCAGGCTGCCKCTGCCCAAATCTCCTCAGTACCCTGCCTATCCCCCAGGAGCTGCATTGCCCCTACCCAGAGGCAGCACAAAGGGATGCAGGAGCAGTGCACTAGCCCCATGGCAGCAGGAACCTGAAGGGCAACACCCTTCCTTCTTCAGAAGACAGGACACCTCAGGTACCTGCTAACCCCCCAGTAAAGGAGGAGGAGAAGGAGAAGCCATCTGCTCTGCTCCTCTAATCCCAYAGCCTGCATTCCTGCTGCCATCCTACCCCCACAGCGTTATCCCTTAGGAGGAGAGTGCTCGTAGCTGAGGAACCTTTCAGCACCAATCCCTGCACCCTCTCGCCAGCCACGGGCAAATCCTGGACCACAGCCCCCCAAAAAGAAAGGGCTCCCTCAGCCACACGGATACCACAAGCACCTCTCCTGCCCCGAAGCACATGGCCCAGCTCCCTGTACAGAGCCACCTTGCTCTGAGGACAGTCCCTCATGTCCTCACCGCAGCAGGGGGGAACTGCTGCCTCAGACACGAAGCTACCGGGTACCTGTGGTGCCGGGGGACTCTCAGCCACAGGCTTCTTGTGGGCCAGCAGAGGAGGCGACACGGCCGCCGCTGGGCGCTTCATAGGCGGCGGCACTCTGGCTGCAGACACAGAAGGAATGCGAGGAGGATCAGGCACCGACAAGAACAGTGACTCATGCAAGGCATGTGGGGGAAGGGGAGGGGAAAAAAAATCACCCAGCCTTGTGACACAGGACGGGACTTGCCGCTCCTGACACTTCTGTGCCTATTTTAGGGGGAAGAGACAAACACAATCTAATAACGGCTTGGCCACGAGGCTGACAGAGCCTAGTCGTGCTGCAGAAACCCTCGTGGTCCCAGGGACACTGTCACTGTGATTTAATTTACCCAACAAATCCACTTGGCTTCCTCATGAAATACTGCCTGAGGAACACGTAAAGCCCAGAGTGCCAGCAGATGCCTAGATGGCTGCCAACGTACTTCTGCTGCTCAGCGGGCACCAGCCCTTGGGGGGCTGATGGCAGCTCTGTGCCGCASCCCCTGCGCCCATGAGGGCTGGCACAGACATGCACAGTCCCAAAGGCAGCTCCCAGTCCGGCACGAGCTTTCCTGGAGAAGCGCTTGTGTGTAAGAGGTTGCTCTGATGCTCTYGTTGATGCGGTGTAACCGGAGAGGGGAGATGCCCTGGGAGAGCTGCCTTGGACTAGCACTTGGCTCAGGCTGCAGTTGCAAAGAGAGATGAGCTGATTTAAGGCACCCCACCCTTGCTCCCCTCCCCTGGTCCGTCAGCCACTTTGAACTTACCAAGGGGATAAAAACTGCCTGCRGGAGGGGAGGTGCCTACCTGACTTTCTCTCATTTTAGTGAGTTAAAGCAGACCACAAAGGGGCCTGGCATGTTCCAGAGGTGACCAAACCCAGGCGGCAGGAATGAGGAGGCATGGAGGGAGGAGAAACAGGCGCCTCCCTTTAGGCAGCAGTGACCTGYTCCAGCATTCCCTACCTCACCTGAAACCTCACCCTGCCCCACTCACCATCTAGACCCTGCCCATGAGCATCTGCAAGATCCAGAGATGCAGCTGCTATCCCGTCTTCTTTCCCTCCTCCCCAGATACAGCAGCTCCAGTTTTCCCACAGAAAGCACAGAGTATGGGTGCCCTCTGTCCACTAAGTCCAGGGCCATGAGCTTTGGACATGTGCCCTCCCAAACTGCAACACCGAGCTCCTTCCTGGATGCTGAGCTCCTTCCTGGATGCCAGCCTCTCCTCCCGCTAAGCCTGATATCCGAACGCAGTGCGCTCCATACACAGAAAAAGGAAGCTCTGGAGTGGGAAAAGGAAACTCTCACAGATTCACTGCCATGGGGAGGGAAGGCACAGGGTAGATTTCGTTTGACACACAGCACTGCTGGCCTTCCTGTACAGCCAAAYGGGAGCAAGCTGGAAGCCACAGGGATGGAAGGGCACTCACCTTGGCTGGGGTTGTTGAAATGGTTGTAATACTGGGACACGTAGGTCATGATGCTGAGGCAGTCAGGGACTTTCATGGAGACCATGTCATTGGGATCTAGGAGGGCTGGGATGCCCAGCTCCCGCTCTGCCAATTCAAAGGCCTGCAGGAATGGCAGAGAGAAATAACAGGGAAAGAAAACTGATGAAAAATGTTTCTGAAAAATCACATAGAACTCAAGCTGCCGGGGGATGGGGAAGATTAGGACACGGGCTTCCCTGAGACAGAGGCTCCCAGATAGGCAGCCTGACTGAGGAGAGGCCATCAAAGCAGGRGAGCTGCAATATTCCCCCATTTGCCCCGCGAAGGGGCCAGGGCTGGCAGGTACCTCCCGGTGCTGGCAGCGACCTGCTCCAGCGGCACGGCCCAACCCCAACACGCACCCCAAACACTGAGCCCACAGAAACTCCAGCTGTGACGGAGCCTCCAGGCTCCGGGGCGCCAGGCCCTCCCCTCCTGCCACTAGTGACAAGGGGACTCCGAGCACCCCACTCGAGAACCAGCAGCTTGCCCCACAGCAGCCCCTCGTGCTTCTCCTCACAAGGTCATTGCCATTCCTGCTCGCTGAGACACAGGAGGGCAGCGCGGCTCCGGCAGTCGCAAACACGGCTACGTGGCAGGAAGGAGTTTGGGAAAGGAATCGCAGTTTGGGTGCTTCCTCCTTACGCTGTTTGTGGGTTGTTCAAAATCCCTGACCATCCTGTGGTTGTCTATGGGGCAGCGTACGTGGCCACAGCGATCTCTGAGCGGGGACGCGGCGAGACTGTGGCAAGGACTGAGGGGAAACTGAGGCAGGAGGGCTCAGGTGTAGTGTAAACATCAGGTATCCAATGCAGGACACTTCGGTAGCAGGTGTTGGCTCCAACAGCCCCAAGCAGCAGGGAAACACCAAAGACCTGCTGAGTTTCAGGGCCACCATCCTCTCCACTTGGGCCTGGAGTCACATTAGCTTCCTGCTTCCGCTGCCTGCCAAGTCTGGAACACCTGAATTGCACCATTTTCATTTTCCTTTGAGATGCCATCTTGGCAACTACCCAGATAAACATCTTATCATCTCTTCAGTGCAGGCTGGAAGCTGATGTTTCAGATTCCCCTGTGTTTCCACAGAAGTTCCTGCCTGTCGCAGGACAGATTACAGATTTTCTTTATCCCCTTCCCACTGTCAAGTCCTCCCATATCATATGACCTCCATCATTTCATTTCTCATGTCTCTTTTTCCTTCTCTGCATGACACAACAGGAACTTACCAAACGGTTGTTCTCGTAGACATCATCCTTGGAGAGAGAATCAAAGTCTCTGGAGAGAAAGCACAGACAAGCCACATGAGATGGGAAAGAGTGTCCCACTGCCAAAACACGGGGGGTTTGGGGGCAGCCAGCCCCCAGACACTGCAACACTGCACACTGCAGCAACCCAATATGTAAGATCCCAGATAAGCAAGACCTTGGTAAAACGTAGTTCAGGCTGTAAAGAGGCAAAGGAACTAAAGGGAAATAATAATGAATGAAAAAGGAAAAAAAACACACACAAAAAAACAGGCCTAAACAGGTGGTGGCCAGGAAATTACAGCACCGTCCTCAACTCTCAGAAGCCACCTATGATGCCCTCACGCTTAAAGGCTGAAGAAATACCAGGGCCACACTGCTGCACGAGAGGGCTTGCAAATACCACTCAACATCATCCCCATCAACGACACCACAAAGGGAAGAGAAAGGGAAACTGAAACCCTTATCTTGAGTGAAAATCCTGACTACACCAGATCTCTTCCACCACAAGTGTCCTTAGACCTCCCTCCACTACCTCRAGGGATCTGATGTCACCCCCAAGATGTGGGGGGGACCCAGGAACCTGCTCCCCTCGCATCGTTCCTGCCCTTTCCCTGTGAGTGAAGGGGATCCTCCCTGCATGCTGCCATCCATGAGCAACCTGGGCCTACTTCCCCCCTTCAAAACGCCCTGCCTGCACTCTCAGCATCACCCTGCCACGGGGCTCACCGTTAGCTTGTGCACAGCCCAGAGAGCAACCCGGACCCTTCCCAGCCCTGGCACTGCCTGGCCCTGGAGCTGCCCCTCAGATCCCTTCAGGGAATCGTTTCAGAGCAGCCTGAGGGATCGACCGCAGCAGCGGCCAGAGCGCTAAAACGCTCTGCAGGTTTTCAGCAGTAGGAGGGAAGTGCAGGAAGGAGTTAGCTGTGCCTGTTAGTGTGGTATGTGTGAACACTGTGCTGCACTGCACCAATTATAGCCCCTTCCTGTCAAGCATCTCAGCTTTGCTATGAAAAAAAACAAGAAGAAAAGGAGAAGCAGCAGCTCGGTGTGCCCGTGAACTGGCTTGCAGGTGAGGAGACAGCCCASAGAGGGTCAGGGTTAGAGGAAACAAATCCAGAGACAGGTGCCAAAGCTTGAGAGACTGACCCAGAGAGAACTGGGATCAAATGTGCTGAGTTAATACCACATCAGAGGGCTGAACGATGTGCTCTGTGCCTCCCGCTCCTCCTTTGGGGAAGCCGGGATTTCCCCTTGTGCGGAGGATGGGGCTGGGGGATCCCAGACCCGCACCGGGCTCTGCTTCACGGGCTGTGGTTTTCCCAGCTCTATCCACGTCTCACTGTGTGACCGATACCTCCCACTGCGGTTGGCTCCTACGGGACGCAGAGCCTGGCGCCGCATTCCTTAGCGATCAGGCAGCTCAGATGAGAGGGGTACAGAGACACCTCAAAGCCTACAGTAACACCCCCGGGCACACAGGACATGGGAGACACGGCCAATACTCCCTGCATTTCTGCCGAGAGCCACCTGAGCGCCCCGGCTCCCACCTTTCCTCCAGCTCCACTTGGATTTTACGGCATCTACCGGTGGCACCCACCAAACCCGCCCAGGCCCCATGGCCCTGGAGCACCAGGAGCTGCTCCGGGCTCCCGGGGGGGCAGCAGAGCAGGGCAAGGCCGCCCTGTTCCCAACTCCCAGGGCCGCAGAGGAAGCCCGTGACTGAGCTCCGAAGGCTTCTCCCAGCTGCCGCCGGCACCGTACAATTCATTACACTTCCTCTCTTCAAAAGCAAGAGGCTGCGGGTGCCGTTTCCTCCAAGCTGAACGGGACAGCAAAGCCACTTGCTGCTGCAGGAGGGAATCACAGCAGGCGGCAGCCGCGCTGCACACGGCTGGGCGGGAAGGTCTATGCGGGGCACTTGCACCTTCCCGAAAGCGCACGCAAACACGAGCACAGAACCAAGCCTAGGTGAAATACTGCAACTTTCCCTTCTCTACCTACTGGCGAGAAAAGGTTTCAGCTGCAGCCTTCGCTTGCATGTAATACTAGTGTCCTTTTTTAAGTTTTTTTTTTTTATTTATAGCTCATTTCCACTGGGAGATTTTTTTTCCTTACGTCATTTTTTTTTTGGCCTGCAGAACCCTCTTAACCTTGCTGCTGTATTTATTTATATATATATWTTTTCCCCTTTTAAAGAAAACACCAGCTTGGGAACACAGGAGAAGTGATGACAGCAATGTTGTGTATCAACCGCTCTCTAAAACAGCAACAACCTTCATCTGAATGCTCCTGCTTCCAGGCTATGGGAGAGGCTCGGATCCGCCCGAAGCCTGRGGGCTCCTTGGTGGCCTGGGGGCTCCTTGGTGGCCTGGGGGGCTCCTTGGTGGCCTGGGCTGGGACAGTGGTTTTTGACAGACAAAACCACACGTCCACTCTGCTCTGCCCGGCAAACGAGAGCTGTTTTAGCAACCACCTCGCATCTGCCTGGGGAAGATGATGGCAGCTGCAGGGATAAGAGGCTCAAGCTGTTAACGGGAGGGCTCCWAAGCAGTGAGGGAATACAGGGATATTCCTTCCACCAAAGCAAGGCAGAAGGCTCTTGGCTTTCATGCCAGCTATTAAATTCCATTAGCACAAGGCCCTGGGGGTCTTTGTCTAGCTTATTTAGTTCCTCTCTGCGGCCTTTCCAGCTCTGCCCCTCTAGGAACGACACGGGGACCAGCCTTGATTCCCATCACCTCCAACACGAGCGGAGCGGCGCTCCAAAGGACCAGATTTAAGAACAGGAAAAACTCTGGATATCCCAGTGGGAACGACTGTCTTCACTCAGCAAACCCCAGCGGTGTAGCATATCCTGGAGCAATATACCCATGCAAACAGCATCCCAAATGCTCGGCTAATTAGCTGCATACAGAGGCCCTGAGCACTCTAGGGGTTAGGGCAGCTGCCAGCGAGCCCGGCACGCTCAGCGAAGGGGGGAGGGTGCTGTGCAGAGCTAAAACCAGAGCAAATCCCGAGATTCCTCAAATATAAATCATGGGCTCTTTCATGGCAACACCGCATAATGAGGCCTTCAGCTTCCCAGGCCTTGTCAGGGAAAYGCAGGCAGCAGCCGGGAGGGAACAAATCGGATTTGTGAGCCTGCCTGTAACCGAACCCATGACTCCAGGACACAAAATACCCTTCGAGCGTATGGCGCTCCTCTCCTGTTTTCGCCCGTCCCTGGCTCGCTCCGGAGGCGTGTGCCATGCTGCCTTCTTCCCTCCTTCCTGGASGCCAAGGGCCTCCCCAAAGCTCAGAAAGGCTCAGGATGCTGGAAGACGCATTTCGCTCCACTAAGCTGCAACAAATGCCTCACAAACATTAATGTCGTGCTTAAGATTTCCAAAGCACTAAACAAACCAACTCATTAAGCCCCACTGCCCGCTGTCAGATTGGTTTAGACACTTCCAGCTTAACTGACAAGGGAGGAGAAGAGATTAAATGTCTCACCCCAAGAACACACAGTCAAAAGTAGAGTCAGAGAGTAAATCCCAGTTTCCTGGGCTGCGCTCAAGGGAGCAAGTTTGCCCAAGGAGTGCCTCATTTGACAGATAGGGAGAGAAAGAGGCAGAGAAATGAAGCGAGGCTCGTGCAATGGTCACACTAGGTCCAAATGCAACCTTCTGTCTCACAGTTATCAGTCTCACCTGAGCACGTACCCTGTTCTCTGTGGACAGCGCCAGACGCCTTAATCTGGATTGAGTAGATACTGAGCGCTTCCAGCTTCAGTTGCTTCTTTAAAAAATAAATAGTAATAATAATAATAATAATAATAATAATGAAAGAATAGTGTCTTCAAGAGCCGTGTACCAGCTGCTCTGAAGCTCTCAAAAATAGCATCTTTTGCATACCACCCGCCTCATTTAAATGGGTTTGTTTCAAAACAGGACTTACACTGAAAACTACTCCCAGTTCTCTCATGGATGGTCACAGGGCCTCCCCTCCCTTTCAGGGCACCCTCTTCCTCGGTGCTCCTCACACCAGCACAGACACATCCAAAAAGAGCYTCCAGGACAGGCAGGGCACCCGAGCAGCCTCAGGCACCCCAGATGGGCACAAACAGCCACAAGGGCAGCCCTATGGAAAAGTCCTACGGAGCAAAGGGCTGGAGCAGTATCACTCTGATGCACAAGGGAGCTCCAGACCTGCTCAGCTCTTCTATTTCCACCACAGACTGGAAAGTGAGCAAGGAAACGGGGAAGCAGSTGAACAGAGATGAAATTCAGCCCCTCTTGGGCTCAAGACGCTAGGAGCAGCATGGTTGTCTCGCAGGAGCTCGACGAACCCATCACAAAAGACCATGCAAGGTCAGGAAAGTATTTGCAGATCCCTGCCAGGTCCCATTACTGAGCTGATTGAAAACTCTTCAGAAGAGGAGGGTGGCTAGTTTTCCTCTGCCACWGGAGATTTACCGCCTCTGATCCGATCTGCCCACTTCCAAAAGAGGACAGGCTGAAGAAGCTAGAATGGGACAAAGTGATGCTACTCCTGATCCTCCTCTGAAAATCCTTCCACAACATGCCATGCCCTTGTAAGGCCCTGGGTTTTGCCTTTACAATACAGCTCACGCAGAGTAACTGCGAAGCATTTAGTTAGGACATCTGCCAGGAATAGAGTTAAGCCCACTGACAACTTCCTAGCAGCGGCTGCTGCCTAACGGGATGGTGAGCATGGCTAAGGGGAAACCATCAGGTGGCTTTAGTCGTGCTCATTGGAAGTTTTGCCCGTCCTAGTTTGATCCTTGCTCTTCACTCAGCTGTCAGTTGCTGTGGCACTGCCCCAAAGTCAGAAACCCGGGAGTTCCTGTGTTCACCCAGTGTTCCTGCCCCTTCACTTGCCTCCTCCTCCTCCCACGCAGCCTGGGCTGAGGTGCACAGCACACTTGGGGCCGGCAGCATTTTCCGAGGCACTCTCCTACCTCAGCAGGACAAGCTGCACCGCAGGGAGCTGCTGGGACACGAGAGCACCCAGCCACCCTAASACCCGGACAGAAGCAAATGCGCTGGATGCCTTTCCTAACTACCACGCCAAGGATTTTGCAGTGACCACTCGAAACACCCCACACAGCCGTTTTCTAGCTCACTTGTCCAGCTTCTGTCTGTGAGAACACAATCCTGCCTTGCCTTCTTACGGGCCCCACAGCAGCAGCAGTGTTAACCCTCGTCTCGCTATAGACTGTCTGTCTTTATTACCTGTAAGAAATGGCCACGCAGGAGCCACCTCAGAAAAGAGGATTTAGTCAATCCAGGCAGCCACTCTGAGCGACAGCAGGCAGGAGAAGCGGTCAAGGAGCTGAACGTGCGAGGAAACGCGATGCCCATCACGGGATCGTGCAGAGAGACGAGCAGTGCAGAGAGGCGAGCAGTGTGTGTGCGTGCCGGGCACGGCCGGCGTGCAGGGAGGCCAGGCTGCACGGCCAGGGCTACCAGGGCTGGCCCAGAGCACCGGTGGATCTCCAGCGGCATCAGGCACGCGGGGCTGCCGCGGCAGGTTGGAGCAGATTCCTTCCCTCTGCTGAACCAGTTTCTCCAGGATGGCGACATGGCCCCTAGCAATCCCAAACTCACCGGCTGCACTAAAAGCTCCCGTTCCCTCATGCCCCAGCCACGCTGCTAGAAGGAGGCTGGACAGAGGGAACTGTGCCCTAAGTCACCTCCTGACAGCGCCCGGCAGCGCTTTTCACCCCGCTGGCATTCCCTGTTTCTCGTTTGCTCCGCAGCATTGGCAGAAAGCAGCCTGGAAGCGGCTGCGAGCAGCAGCSTGGAGCCCGGAGCAGCGCCTGGCGCCTGGGCTGGCAGAGACCCCGCTGCCGGCGGGCACTCTCAGCAGCGGGGCCAGCGCCCCAGCGGGCCGGGACACGGCGTGGGCAGCCGGCAGCGCCTCGCCCGTATCCACACGGGTGTCCCCAGCACCACTGCCCTTCCATATCCATACAGGTGTCCCCAGCACCACTGCCCTTCCATATCCATGGGAGCATTCCTGGCACCACTGCCCTTCCCATATCCATACGGGTGTCCCCAGCACCACTGCCCTTCCATATCCATGGCAGCATTCCTGGCACCAATACCCTTCCTATATCCATATGGGCGTCCCCAGCACCACTGCCCTTCCCATATCCATGCGAGCGTTCCCGGCACCACTGCCCTTCTCCCCGGGCAGCCCTTCCAGGCCCCTGCTGCCTGTTGCCACCTCTGTCCTCAGAGGAGGCCTGGCCGGGAGCCCCGGGCGCTGCCTCCCGCGCTGGGGCTGGTCACCCCGGGCCGCCCCGGGGCCGCCCCGGGCAGCGC